AATTCACTTTGCAGTGTGTTCTGTGAAGCGCTTTGGGACGTCCTCCCGATGTGAAAAGCGCTATATCAAAATGCAAGGATTATTATTATTATTATGTAAATCAATCTGTATTATCTGCTTAAATTACTACTTATGGGAGTGAGTTCCGCATAGTGCTGCCCTCTGTCTAAAGAAGTTCCTTCTAAATTCTCATTTCATTCCTCCAGTCACTATCTTATACTCGTATTTCTATGTGAAGTCTCAGTCAGAAATAGGAACTACCTATTTGAGCTGTGACACCATGTTGTATTGGTGTCACTTGTGGAAATGTTATCAGTCCTGCAGCTCAGGTGGGGAGTCCTGTAGCTCAGTGGTTAGAGCACTCGCTTTGCAAGAGGGAGACCTGAGTTCAATTCCTGGCAGGGCGAAACCTTGGGCAAGTTTCCTTACCCCACACAGAGCCTAATAATAATTTTTCCAAAACCAAAAACAAAAATAAATTGGCCATTTTTAATCTACGACTGTTTGTGGGACATAGCTGTGCACAATTGGCTGCTGCGTTCGCCCACAAATATACAGTTAATTCACTTTGCAGTGTGTTCTGTGAAGCGCTTTGGGACGTCCTCCCGACGTGAAAAGCGCTATATCAAATGCAAGGATTATTATTATTATTATTATTATTATTATTATAATGATCGACAACTGTTCCAAACCATCCCTGGCATAAACTGACTCACCTAGTAAACTGAACCAACTTGGACAGACACTGGCCTGGACAAACAAAACCAACCTTCAGCTACTCTATATTACCCAAGATCAAGCAAATTTACTGTTTCTTCAGATTATAACAGATACCATCAAATCTGATTTTACACCATCTAACAGTGTCTAACCTCAATCTCTGTTATTCCTACAATCTGGGTCGATGAATTAAACCCTTGACCCAAACTGTGAGCTCAACACATTAATCCAGCAACACCTCCTCCATCCTGTCACTCTCAAACCCCAGTCTCCGTTACTAATGACTTCTAATCTCAACCTCTAGTGTGAGCCAGAGTTAATGCTCATATGTATTTGGATGTCAGACATCCTGCATGAAGTCCACGTAGTGCTGTTAAACCTCTGGAGTGTGGAAAGGTGCAAGAAAGAAGGATATACAACCTTTGCCGTCATCAGTGTTCCCACTAGTACAGACTTACCTTACTTATCCTCCACGAATCTTAACGTGCTAGAGAGAGAAACAGGGCTGCAGGCATCAGCGTTTGGTTCCCATTAGTATAGACTTGGCTTCGGGTGACAATAATAACAGTAGTCCTTGCATTTGATATAGTTCTTTTCACGTCGTCGACATCTCAAAACGCTTCACAGAATAGACCGTAAAGTGAATTGATCATATATTTGTGGGCAAAGCGCAGCAGCCAATTGCACATAGCAGCGTCCTACAAACAGTCGTGGATTGAAAAGCAACAATTTATTATTGTTTTGTTTTTTGGAGTAAGGAAACTTGCCCAAGGTTTCGCCCTCTGCCGGGAATTGAACCCAGGTGTCTCGCTTGCAAGGCGAGTGCTCTAACCACTGAGCTACAGGACTCCACAGAACAACTGAACTCAGCCCATTAACCACGTACATCTCCCACAATTGTCAGTTGCATCTCATCTTTAAACAATTCCTAGTTGGACATATTTGACCAAAATCTAGATGATGGTTTAAAGACTAACACTGCAAAATAATAATTCTATACAGTGATTCTGTCATCACCATCATTGAGACGAGTTACACAATACAAAGAAAAGTCAGACAGGTCAAGAGATGTTCACATTAAACCGAGATGGATGGCAACAGGGTCTCCAAAGTTCATTGATGTATGAATACCCAGTGATCATCTGGTATGAACAAGCATTAGACCAGCGTTCAAAAGCAACACAAACCTGCACTGGCTCCAGAACAACCTCTGACTGAAGCGGAAACAACAGAACTAAATACTGAGAGAAGAGCAAAGGTTAGAAAACCAAAAGTGATTACTAACTGAGTTGCTCCAGAAAGAGAAACAGTTTAAGAAAATAAACACAAAAAGGCAAGAAAAACACTATTGGGCATATGGGCAAGTGAGGAGAGTTACCCTAATAAGTGTCTGAAAAATACATAGTATAAAAATTAAACAAGTTAGGAACACAAATTTAGCTTAAAGCGTCTGATGTAGTAGCCATTACAGAGACCTGGGTACAAGTTGGGCATTACTGGGAGCTAAAATTCCAGGCTGTAAGATCTTCAGAAAGAATAGGGAAATCGGGAAAGGAGTAGAGCAATATGGATAACATTCAAGTATAACAGTAGATAGAAAGGACTTTAGTAAAGGTGATCAGGCCACAAAAACACTATGGGTAGAATTAAGAAACAGCAAAGGAGGGAAGATTCCAGTGGGAGTTGTCTACAGACTCCAGACAGAAACAAAACAGCAATCGTTTTTGAGACAAATAACACAATAAAAGGAGAAGCCAAACTAGCCAAGAGTTGCTCACAATTGACACAGAGAGCAGGTGGACAGTGATAATGTCTCTGAAGCTCACAGGACTGACAACACCCAAGGTTTGGACAACTTCTCTTCACAAACATTACTGACAATTTATAGCCCACCAGAAGTTTCTCACAAATACAGACTTACCTGATATAGCTCATAGAGAGACCGGCCTGAGCCAAGCTCCACCACACTCAAACTGACCATTTCACTGCTCTGAACCACAAACCTCCAGCAACTCATCTGCTCCCTCTAAGCTGATGAGGTGACTCCTTCCTCCAATTGTTTGACTGAGCTCAGCCTCTGGGTTAAATACCCAAAGTTTCAGGTTTGACATGTGGCCAATGAGCGAATCACGTTCCTCACAAGGTCCAGTTGAAGGGAACATCTTCAACTTCACAGCTGCAAACAGTCAGTATCATCATGTAGGCTATTGGCTATTGGATGGTTCAGAGAATTCACAGGGTTTATATTCATTACTTTATAGCTTTCACACTTTCCTAGAATTTCCTATTGAATGCTTCAGAGACACCATCAAACACACCACCAAATCAGATCACAAACACTAATAGGTGTGAGAGAGGAGAAAGATTGCAATAGAGAGAAGGTGTGATAGAGAGGAGAAAGCTTGTGATAGAGAAAGGGAGAGAAACTGTGACAGAGAGGCGAAAGATTGTGATTGAGAGGAGAAATATTCTGATAGAAAGTGTGCTAGAGAGGAGAAAGATTGCAATAGAGAAAGTGTTAGAAAGATTTGAATAGAGAGAGACAAAGTATGATAGAAAGATTGCAATAGAGAAAATGATAGAGGAGAAATATCCTGATAGAGACAAAGAGTGATAGAGGAGAGATTGTAGTAGAGAGAAAGTGTGATAGAGAGAAAGTGTAATAGAGAGGAGAAAGACTGGAATAGAGAGAGAGAAATTGTGAAAGATTGCAATGGAGACCAAGTGTGGCAGAGAGGGAAAAGGTTGTAATGGAGAGAACAAGTGTGATAGAGGGGAGAAAGATTGTAATAGAGAGAAACAAAGTACAATAAAGAGGAGAAAGATTGCAACACCGAACCGGCCGCCAGCAAACTCGAGCCAACCCCAGCAACCCCGGGTGCTGTGTATGGGGGGGGCAGTGCTGTGTACGGGGTGGGAGGGGAGCTGTTTGTATTTGTGTTTGGGGTGGTGGGTCTATGCGCTGAGGGGGAGCTATGTGTGTGCGCGGGGGGGCACGGTATGGGGGAGGGGCTGTGCGTGTGTGTTGGGGTGGGGTGCTATGTGTGGGGGGAGGTGCTGTGTGTAGGAGGGGAGCTGTGTGTGTGTATGTATTTGTGGGGCTGGGTGTGGTGGGGGGGTTGTGCGTGGGTGGTGTGTGGGGTGGGAGGGGAGCTGTGTGTGTTGGGGGAGGGAGCCTGTGGGGAGGGGGTTGTGAGTGTCTGTGGTGGGGGCTGTATGTATGTGGGGGTTAAGAACATAAGAATTAGGAGCAGGAGTCAGCCATTCAGCCCCTCGAGCCAGTGCCCCGCTATTTGATAAGATCATGGCTGATCTTCAGACCTAACTCTAGTTACCTGCCCTCACCCCATATCCCCTAATCCCTCTGTTTTTTTAAAAATCTATCAGTTATGGTTAACTGCTATAGAACCTTGGTTAGACCACACTTAGAATACTGTGCAGTTCTGGTCCCCACATTATAGAAGGGATGTAGAGGCCCTGGAGAGGGTGCAAAGGAGATTCACAAAGGAAAGGTTATATCAGGAAAGGCTGAATATGCTGGGACTTTCCTCTTGAAAAGAGGAGGGTAAGGGGTGACCTGATAGAGGTCTTTAAAATGCTGAAAGGTTTTGATAGGGTCAACATAGGGAAGATGTTTCCACTTGTGGGGGAGACCAAAACCAGGGCCATCAATAATAAATAGTCACAAATAGATCAAATAGGGAAGTTAGAAGCTATTTCTTCACACAAAGAGTAGGGGGAATGTGGAACATGCGACCACAAGGAGTTGTTGAGGCAAATAGCACAGATGTATTTAAGGGGAAGCTGGAGAGGTACATGAGGGAGACAGGAATAGAATGTTAGGCTTGAAGGCTTAGTTGAGGAAGGGCAGGAGGAGGCTCATGTGGAACATAAACACCAGCATAGACCAGTTGGGCCAAAGGGCCTGTTTCTGTGCTGTATATTCTAATGTATAATGTATTTATCAAAGAAACAAATGACTAAACCTTCTTCTTGAGTCATTAAATGAGATCCTGTTTGTCTGTAATTTACTGGGAATTCCTTCCTTTCTTGCTTATTTAGAAAAAGGGAGTTTTCCTCACAGTTATTTTCTCTCATCCAAAAATTCCAATGACTTGGCGCCTGATTCCGTTGCTGTTTGTTGTGATTTTACTGGGTGCAATTAAGTGGAATCAATATGCTCATCATGTCAAAATAATCTAACTTTGTAAAATGCTTCATTGCATTTTTGTTAGGCGATAAAAAAAAATGGCATTGTTATGCCACCTGATTATGCCCCTCATCACAATAACAAGTGTAATGACTGTACTTATTGGTAAGCATCACACGCACAACAAATAGCTATTTGGTGAACAATCAATTTATCTGGAGAATTGTTGACTGGGTTAGAACAATGTCCGAGGATCTTTAACTTCCACCTGAAGAGCAAACCTAGGGTTGTCTTCTCCTGCAGAGGACAATGCAAGACTTTACACTTCCTTCCTAGCCTGTTACGGGCTGTCAGTCTACAATACTTTCAAATCCCACCATGGCGCCAGCTCACAGCGACCCGGACACACCTTCATTTTTCAACGCTGTTTAGTACAGATTCTTTCTCCTCCAGAGCAGCCATCGCCAACACAAGCTGTTCTTTCAGCTGAGAGAGATCCTGCTCAGTCCGTACCTTAATGACACTCAGTTCTGTATAAATGTCTTTGTACCTATCCGTGGCGTATTTCTTATCCTGCAGAAAAAAGCCAAACGATAACGTACAACAGCCTGAGGTCTCCACTCCTTCAACCAGTATTGCAAACCCCCAGCAAACTGCACTTACCCACTGCAGAGCCTGCAGCTCATCCCTGAGGCACTGAATCTCCTTCTTCAGATATTGTACTTCATTCTCCTTCACCCGCAGGACAACCTGAGGATCAGATAAACAGGCCTTTAATAGTTCACCTCCCAGAATAACTCCCAGAATAACTCCCAGCTACTGAGACAGTGCAGTCAGAACGTTACTGTATTATCCGCCCCAGGCTCCACCGGCTCCCAATCACCGAACGGATCGACTTCAAGATCCCCTCACTCGTTTTCAAATCACTTCACTCCCTCGCACCTCCCTAACTCTCCGCCCTGCTTCCCCCCCGCTCCACGAACTGCTTGCCTCCGGCCTCCTAATTGTTCCTCGTGCCCTCCACTCCACCATCGGTGGCCGTGCCTCCACGCTCCCAAACTCTGGAACTTGATCCCTCCACCTTGCCACCTTTCTACCTTCAAATCTGCCTAAAGACCTTCCTTTTTGTTGATGTTTACGATCGCTTCCCCCTCCCTCTCCCCTTGGCTGGTTGTCAAGACTCCGCCACTGTGATGCGCTCCGGGACACTATCCCAATGTTATTGCACTAACAAATCCCACAATGGCAGTTGTATCATCTCAATTTAAACATTGGTGATTTCAGCACAAAGTTTGACAGAGATTTACAGGTTGTACAGCACCCAAACAGGCCCCGAGTGGAGTACTGTAGCTCAGTGGTTAGAGCACTCGGCTCGCAAGCGAGAAACTGGGGTTCAATACCCGGCAGGGTGAAACGTTGCGCAAGTTTTCTCATTCCACCGAGCAGTAAGTGGGAACCCAGTTGTTAGTCGATTGGCAGATCGCTTTTCCAGGATAATAATTCCTTCAAAAAAACAGTAAGAATAAATTGGTCACTTCAATTTCTGACTGTTTGTGGGAGGGACACTGCTGTCAATTCACTTTACAGTATATTCTGTGAAACGCTTTGAGACCTGAACCCTAACCCTAAATCCTAACCCTAAATCTTCACCTAAACCCTAATCCTAACCCCTAACCCTAACCCTAAGAACCCTAACCCTAACCCTAAACCCTAACCCTAACCCTAAACCCTAACCCCTAAAGCTAACCCTAACCGGGAACCCTAACTCTCAACCCTAACCCTAAAACCTAACCCCTAACCTTAACCCTAACCGGGAACCCTAACCCTAAACCCTAACCCCTAACCCTAACCGGGAACCCTAACCCTAACCCCTAACCCTAACACTAACCCTAAGGATCCTAACCCTAACCCAAACCCTAAACCCTAAAACCTAACCCTAACCCTAACCGGGAACCCTAACCCTGACGCTAACTCCTAACCCCTAACCCCAAACCCTAACGCTACCCCTAAACCCTAACCCTAAACCCTAACCCTAATCCTAAACCTACCCCTAAACCCTAACCCTAAACCCTAATCCTAACGCTAAGCGATAAACCCTAACCTCTAACCCTAACCCTTAACCCCTAACCCTAAACCTTAACCCTCACCCCAACCCCAACCCAAACCCTAAGAACCCTAACCCTAAGAACCCTAACCCTAAGAACCCTAACCGCTAGCCCATAACCCCTAACCCCTAACCATAAACACGAACCCTACCCCCTAACCCTAAACCATAACCCTAATCCTAACCCTACCCCCTAACCCTAAAACCTAACGCTAAACCCTAACCCTAACCCCTCACCCTGACACCAACCCCCAACCCTAAGAACCCTAACCCTAAGAACCCTAACCCTAAGAACCCTAACCCTAAGAACCCTAACCCTAAGAACCCTAACCCCTAGCCCATAACCCTAACCCTAACACCTAACCCTAACACCTAACCCTAATACCCTAACCCTAATACCCTAAACCCTAACCCCTAAATCCTAACCCCAACCGTAAACCTAAACCCTAACCCCTAAATCCTAACCCCAACCCTAAACCCTAACCCCAACCCCAAACCCATCCCCGACCCTAACCCTAACCCTATGGGGCCTAACCCTCACCCCTAACCCTAACCCCTAACCCTAAGCCCTAAACCTAAGCCTAAGACCCTAACCCTAAGACCCTAACCCTAAGACCCTAACCCTAACCCAAACCCTAAGGACCCTAACCGGAGCTCCTGGAGCCCCTGGTGCTCCTGGAACCCTTGGAGCACCTGGAGCTCTGGGAGCCCCTGGAGCTCGTGTGGCCCCCGGAGCCCCTGGAGCTCTTTGAGCTTTAATGTCAGTAACACGCATGCGCTGAGTCCTGCGGTGTGAGCGGAAGTTCCTTTACTAAGATGGTGGGCGATGCCGGAAGTGGCGGTCGCTATGCCGCCGCTCGGCCTGGCCGCTCAGGCCGCCTTTTCGCTGCTCAGTTTCTGTCTGGTTTTCAGCTGTGCCGCCAACTTCATCAGCTTCGTGTCTCTGCGGCCGCTACAGCGGGAAAAGCCGAGGCCTGAGACAGGTCAGAGAGTGTGAGAGGGAGTGAGTGAGAGTGTGCGAGAGTGTGTGAGAGGGAGAGAGTGGGAGAGTGAGTGAGAGTGTGAGAGAGAGTGACAGAGAGAGGGAGTGACAGAGAGTGTGTGAGTGTGAGAGAGAGTGTATGTGTGTTATCAGGTTAACAAGTTACCCGGTTTGTGAATTATCAGGTTAATGGGTTACCTGGTTAGTGAGTTTTCAGGTTACAGGGTTATAACAATATAATAATAATAATCCTTGCATTTGATACAGCGCTTTTCACGTCTTCTCGGCGTCTCAAAGCGCTTCACAGAATAGACTGTAAAGTGAATTGACTGTATATTTGTGGGCAAAATGCGCACAGCAGTGTCCCACAAACAGTCGTGGATTGAAGTGACCAATTTATTTATTTTTTCTTGAGGGATTATTATTAGGCGTGTGGAGTAAGGAAATTTGCCCAAGGTTTCACCACGCTGGGAATCAAACCCAGGTCTCTCGCTTGAGAGGCGAGTGCTCTAACCATTGAGCTACAGGTCTCCACAAAAATTCTAAGGAATTCTAAAAGAGGCACCAAAAAAAAAATCTTTTCTCTATCTCAAAAGTCGATGGACGCACCTCTGATAATTCAGCACTCACTAGACATTTCACTGAACTGTCAGTCTAGACTATTAATCTCAAGACCCAATATTGGGCTTTGAGCTCACAACCTTCTAACCTAGGGCTAGTGAGTTATCAGGTTAACAGGTTACTGGGTTAATGAGTTATCAGGTTACAGGCTTAACAGGCAGTTTGGAAAGGGACGATTTGAGATGATTTAAATACTGAACGAGAGAAATGACTGAAGCTGAGCCACAGATGGTTTGTTTACAGGTGACGCCGGACACTATGGCTGGAGCTCGATCCTGCAGGACACGCGGGTTGTTGAGCCGCTCAGTCTTGACCTCATTCTCCTTGGTCTCTTCATTCTGCAGCACAGCGTCATGGCCACTGTGACCGTCAGGAAGTGGACCTCAGCCTGGTTCGGGGTCCTGCAGAGATCAGTGTACGTCCTGTGTACAGCAGCAGCTCTGCAGGTCAGTCAGCGATTCAGTCTCTAGTGAAGGCTGCTCTCCTTTCCACCTCTACAGTGAGGGCTCCTCTCTCCTCCCCCACAGTGAGGGCTCCTCTCCTCCCCCACAGTGAGGGCTGCTCTCTCCTCTCCAACATTGAGGGCTCCTCTCCTCCCCCACAGTGAGGGCTGCTCTCCTCTCCTCTCCAACAGTGAGGGCTGCTCTCCTTCCGATACTTTACCACTCAGCAGGCTCTGGCCTGCCCCAAGTCACCGCAGACCCCACCCCACCACCCACCATCAGTCAACAGACCAGCCTTCAGTGTCTCTGCTTCCACTCCTGGAACTCCATCCCAGTCCCTTCGCTTTGCTCCCTCCCTTGCCTCCAAGACCCTTCTCTTCGACCCAACTGTGCCTTTGGTCACCCTCCTACTCCCACTTTCCACCCCTCTTGATCCCCAGCTCAGGTATAAATCCCTGTCTGTCCAGTGCTGTGGGACATACTCCCGCTGTGTAAATGTAATTGTTGTTGCAGGTGCTGATGATGTACTGGCAGCCAGTTCTGGAGGGCCCTGAGCTGTGGAGTGTGAGAACCGAGCCTTGGAACAGCTGGGTGGTGCTCACATGCTTTATTATCCACGTCATCGCCTGGCTCATCATCATCAGCATTGCTCTGATCTATGACTACGCAGAGCTCATGGGAGTCAAGCAGGTAAAGTGCCCCCAAACAAGATAGAACCCCCCCTCACTCATAGGGACACAGCCGACAAACAATCCTGACTCCTCGTGCCTCACTTCAGAGTAATTTGGTCACTCAATCCACAACTATGTGTGGGACGCTGCTGTGTCCAATTGACTGCTGAGTTTTCCCCGCAAAATATACAGTCACTGCACTTTACAGTATGTAGTGTGAAGCGGTTTGAGAAGTCTCAAGTCTCTGAGACGTGCTGGAGATTGTTATTACCTTTTCTCTTCTGTTCCAGGTTTATTATCATTGCTTGTCGCTGGGAGACCCGATGGCATTGAAGTCCCAGAAGGCGCAGCGTCTGTACTGCCACCTGCGACACCCTGTGTTCCTGGAGTTCCTGCTTGTCCTCTGGGTCGTTCCCGCACTCACCCTCGACCGTCTGCTCTTGGCCGCTGTCCTCAGCCTCTACTTGGTCTTTGGTCACAGCCTCGACCAGCAGGATTACCGCTACCTCCGAGCTCAACTGGCCAAGAAGTTTGAAATCTTCTCACGTGAGGAGACCTTCAGTGACCCCATGGCTCTGAACGGAAGCCGGTAAACCCCATGGGACAGATGTGGCCTCGCTTTTTAACCGTGATTTATTCCCTGCAGATTCTCAAATCAAGGACTGGTATCAGCCGGTTTCGTGCGTGACTCAGCAGCTAATCACGGACTCGAGTTAAAGGTGTAACCTCTGATTAAAATACATGAAACGGCCTGATTTTCACTCGAGCGAGTCCGTGTAATTACTTACACCCTGTCCTGGAGGGTCTGTTTAATATTCATTCTCGCTGGCACAACCTACATTTCTTGACTAAGTTAAGATGTACCTATGCAAATTACAGCTGCCTCTTTGCAGGTGATGTAACCGTCCACTCTGCCTAATACATAATCAATAATATAATACATAATCGCTTTCCACCAGTCACTCAGTCGCTTGGCTGGGGGTGGCTGTGGGTGGGGGGCGTTAGTTATGTGAGGACTTTTCTTGTCGGTTGGATGTTTGCCACATACATAAACTGATCACCACAGCCCAATACATTATATGCATTGCAGTAGTGGGAGCTGCTTAAGCCGGACACCGAGTAAATTGGACAAAATGCCGCCTTCTGTGAGAGGGAAAGACTCTGGGCTGACATTGAGTCAGTCACAAAAGAACGAGGGAGAGCGTGGAGATTACGGTTGATTGACAGCTATCAATCAGCAGCCACCAGTGAGGGGGAGGAGTCACAGTGAAGGGGAAGAGCCGCTGAGCAGGAAGTTAACCTCAGAGACGGTTAAACCAACGTGTCCGGTTTAAGTGTCTTCCACTGCAAATGTTTGTGTGCGTTGCGGTAACTGCTGGAGTTTATCCCCCAAAATCACATCGCTCGCCATCGAGCTTCCCACTGCTTGTCCAGCAAGCACCACGTCTTGATCAATCAGGCTTTGGCTGCCAGGTTAGCAGAAGCTGAGGGGGAGAATATCTTCTCCATCCCTGTTGTCAGCTAAGCTGGGCTGTCATCAGCCATGCCTTCAGGTCCTGCTCAGCAATCCATAGTCAACACTTCACCATGGAGCACGTTCAGCTGGTTACACAAAAGCCTCAGCAGCACAAACAGCCACACAGCGCTCCCTCCAGTCACCTATATTAAGATCACTATAAATACCAGTTATCTTCAGAACTTCCTCTCATATCCAGACCCTGACAAAGGAACATTCATTCCCTTCACTACCATTAGAATGTCAGTTAGTAATAGGACAGGGACAAAGTTGGATCCACAATCATAGCAGTTGCTGTCAAACGTTTAATGTACAGTCAGAGTCAAGGTACAGAGTCTATCTGTCACTAACGGTTAGACTTGGCCACTCGCTCCAGCTCGTCCTTCTTCTTGATGGCATAGGAATTGGACGATCCCTGAGAACAAGGCAGGAAGTCGCAAGGCTTTAGGGAACCGCATCAACATCCTCGTAATCGCCTTCAAAACCCTCCATGGACTCACTCCTCCCCACCTGTGACCTGTTCCAAGTCATACCCATCTGTACGCTCCCTCCGCTCGGCTGGCTCCGGCTCCACAACCCCCGCCTGGCCCACCCCACCACCAGTGGTCGGGCCTTCAGTCTCTGCCCCCACCGTCTGGAATTCCATCCCACAGTTCCTTTGCCCCCTCCCTCCCTCACCTCCTCCAAGACCCGTCTCAAGACGCTCCTTTTCCACCAAACACACCTTTGATCACCCTCCTACCCCACCCTCCAGATCCCTGACTGTCCAGCACCTTCGGACGTAGATGCCACGTGTTTTTGAATCCGATCACAATCACGACTGGGAGCGACATGAAAAATAGATGCCTGGAGAATCCTGGTCGTGACACAGAACCTACCTTGGCAGCATTGATGAGCTCATCAGCTAAGCACTCAGCAATCGTCTTAATATTCCTGAAGGCAGCTTCTCTGGCCCCAGTGCACAGCAGCCAGATAGCCTGGGAAACAATCAGAGAGAGAGTTAAAGTCCAAAATGTTTTGGTGTTTTGAGAAATTAGCATTTGTCACTGGAGCTGGGAAGAACCTTCAAAAAGAGTATTTGTTTGGAGTTAGAGTGAGCGTGAGACCCACACCCGAGAAGTTCGGACCTGCTACAGGAAATGTGTTGTCGGTTGTTACTGACATGTTGATGATCGAGCAGAGAGGGCACGGGGCTGGTGATGGAAGAGGAGGTGGGATAAGGGGCTGGTGATGGAGGAGGAGGGGGGGGACACAGTGATGAAGGAGGAAGTGGGACACGGGGCTCGTGACCCTCGTTACCTGGTTAACGCGACGTAGAGGCGAGACGTCCACAGCCTGTCTCCTGACGGTACCGGCTCTGCCAATCCGTGTGGAGTCCTCGCGAGGACCACTGTTAATGATGGCGTTTACCAGTACTTGAAGAGGATTCTGCAAACAGAAAATCATGTCAAGACACAGAGCTGGCTGACTTCCTGGGTGGGGAGGGGCATGGGGGAGCGCAATGTCCTCCCGGAGCTGAACCGGCCCCAAGGTGGCATGTTTGGGTGTTTGGCAATATATCAGAATGGAGCCAACCCCACCCCCCTCTCTCTGTGATTGTCTCGAGGCCGGTTCCTGAGCCAGGAGGGTCCGCAGTATATCCCAGGGCATTGCACAGCCCAACCTAATTCATCAGAAGGACCTGGAAGGGCCAACCAGTCACTGGGGGCAAGGAATCCTCCCACTCAGCTCCTGGTAACCCTGCAGCCAAAGCCCTAACTAATAGGTAGGGTGGGTCCTAGCTGGACAAGCAACGGGAAAACTGGCCAGACAGCGATAACAATGGCCAAGCTCTGGTTTTACCTGGTTAGATAGACTCCAGCAGTGAACCCAATTGGGTCACTGGAATCCCCAAGCCTTTGCTCCTGCCAACCTATGCCAAACACTCTCTGGAATTAGGTAAGTAGGTTGGTCCCTCCGGGGAAAGTGGCCAAGCCCCTCAACGCTGCTCCCCCTCAGCCCCACTCCCTCACTCGCCCTCCACCCTGCTCCCCATCAGCCCGGCTCCCCCGCCCACCATCAGCCCAGCTCCCCCCCCCTCCCCATCAGCCCGGCTCCCTCCCCTCTCCACCAGCCCGGCTCCCTCCCCTCCACCCTCCCTCAGCGCTGCTCAAAGCTCAGCCCCTGGCCGCTGCACTCACCTCACCAGTCAGGAGATGGATGATCTCAAATGCGTGTTTGACAATGCGAACAGTCATCAGCTTCTTGCCATTGTTGCGGCCATGCATCATCATGGAGTTTGTCAGCCGTTCCACGATAGGACACTGCGCCTTGCGAAAACGCTTGGCCGCATAGCGCCCTGAGCTGTGAGGCAAGTATTTGGCATATTTCTCCTTCACAGCGATGTAATCCTGCAGAGACACAACATTGTTAGTCAGATAGAGACCTCCCGCACCTCCCACACACTCACGGACACATACTCACCTGCAAGGAGATGTCATTGATCTGCACATCATCAGTGCTCCATTTGCCAAAGAGCTTGATCTCCGGGGTCTCAGCTACAGCGGGAACAGCTTCCCACTCAGTCATCCTGCGGAGAGGAGAGGCAGGATAGTGAAGGTACACAGTGTTAGTGTGAGAGCTGGTTAGTGTTAGTGAGAGAGTGGTTAGTGTTAGTGTGAGAGCAGTTAGTGTTAGTGTGAGAGCAGTTAGTGTTAGTGTGAGAGCAGTTAGTGTTAGAGCAGTTAGTGTTAGTGAGAGTGTGGTTAGTGAGAGAGTGGTTAGTGAGAGTGTGAGAGCAGTTAGTGTTAGTGTGAGTGCAGTTAGTGTTAGTGAGAGAGTGGTTAGTGTGAGAGCAGTTAGTGAGAGAGTGGTTAGTGAGAGTGAGAGAGCAGTTAGTGAGAGAGCAGTTAGTGTTAGTGAGAGAGCAGTTAGTGTGAGTGAGAGAGCAGTTAGTGTGAGTGAGAGAGCAGTTAGTGTGAGTGAGAGAGCAGTTAGTGTGAGTGAGAGAGCAGTTAGTGTGAGAGCAGTTAGTGTTAGTGAGAGAGGAGTTAGTGTGAGTGAGAGAGCAGTTAGTGTGAGAGCAGTTAGTGTTAGTGAGAGAGCAGTTAGTGAGAGAGCAGTTAGTGTTAGTGAGAGAGGAGTTAGGGTTAGTGAGAGAGGAGTTAGTGTTAGTGAGAGAGGAGTTAGGGTTAGTGAGAGAGGAGTTAGGGTTAGTGTGAGAGGTGTAAGTGAGAGAGCGGTTATATTGATATTTATTGGCTTTTCCCGGTGTCTCTGGTCTCTGACGACAGTATATTATTATGTGTAACTGTGTGTTGGCGCGGATTATTATAATGTTTATTGGTTTATATTGATAGTTAATGATATTTCGCGGCTTTTCTCTGAGTCTCCGTCACTGACCTGTTTCCCGGTGATGGAGCCGCGAGGACAGAGACGGAGTCGCGGGGTTTCTCGGCTCTTATTCCAGGGGCGCGGCGCTCACTTCCGGGGCGGTAGTTCCGGTCGGTGAGGTACTTCCGGTCGGTGAGTGCGTGCGCTCCCCGAGATATCAGGATAACGTGCGTTGGGAACTGCGCATGCGCCGCATCCCCGGGCGCCATCTTTCATACAGGAAAAAGGACCACGTGATACTTTTTGCCGCGCACAGCGCCCCCTGGTGGCCGCCGATTTGCGCGCAGCGACATCCTCGCGAACAGCCTTGAAGCAGAGAGAGAGAGGAGAGGGGAAAGAAAGAGGCAAAGAGAGAGAGGGACAGAGAGAGAGAGAGAGGAAGAGAGAGAGAAAAAAAAAGTGAGAGGCAGAGAGCGAGAGAGAGAGAGAGAGAGAGAGGCGGAGAGAGAGATAGAGAGTGAAGCACTATGACATCCTCCTGACAGTGCAGTCAAAGGCTCTAAATAATGATAACTTGCATTTATATAGCGCTCCTCACGCCGGGTAACATCCCACAGCGATAACAATCCTAATAAAGACTCACAGTGTTTCTGAGACAGAATAAATAAAAATTTATTGCAGAGCCGGAGATGGAGAGAGCGGAGCACACTGAACTTTCAACCAAAGCGCACGGTGTCATCGCCTTTCTCCAGCGGAGCCTGACTTGCCATCTTCTGCTTACGCAGTCGTACAATCCCTGAATCAACGGTGAAGCCATACTTCTTGTCACGAGCGTTGCTGTTCAGTTGTTTCCGAGCCAAATGCAACAAGCGAATATTGCGATTTGTTTCCTCCAAAGTCTTCTTCAACATCCCAGTGCCCTGGGGAGAGAGAGCAAGTGTGTGAGAGAGAGAAAAAAGGGGGAGAGAGAGAGAGTGTGTGAGAAAGAGAATGAGATTAAGTGTGTGTGTGAGAGAGTGTTTGAGAGAGTGAAACAGGAAGAGAAAGAGAGAGAGAGGGGTGTGCATGAGAGAGTGTGTTTGAGGAAGAGTGAAACAGAGAGAGAGAGTGCGACAAAGAGAATGAACTCAGCTGAACTCTGACCTTGACCAGAGTGGCCGCCTCTGGTAATTGGTTCCCTGCGTGTCGCTGGAAAACTCTGACCATCGGTCTGTCCAGGCGTTCACGTGTGGTCAGGTCTGTGCTCTTTTCTGGGCCCTGAGAGGAGGAGAGGAAGGGAGGGAGGGAGAGAGAGAGAAAGATCCTGGCACACACAGCCCTCCATACTGAACAGGACACGGATACAGGATATAGGACAGGGACACGTAACACGGACACAGACACGGACATGGGACATGGGACTTGGGGCATGGACACGCACGTACCAGAGTGATTCCCTGAGCAACGTCCATCTGGTGATACCAGCGCTGAGCCCGGTGAGCGGCCGCTCGCGTCTCCCCAGAGCTGACGGTCAGATATTGCTGATCCAGAGAGTTAGTGTTACACTGACACTCCCCCACACACTGACCCCTCCCCCACACACTGACCCCTCCTCACACTGACCCCTCCCCTCACACTGACCACGCCCCACACACTGACCACCCCCCCACACTGACCCCTCTCCCCACACTGACCCCCCCCCCACACTGACCCCTCCCCACACATACTGACCCCTCCCCACACACTGACCCCTCCCCACACATACTGACCCCACCCACACACTGACCCCCCCCCACACACTGATCCCTCCCAACACTGACCCCTCCCCTCACTGACCCCACACACAGACCCCTCCCCACACACTGACCCACCCCACACATGCTGACCCCTCCCCCCACACCTTGACCCCTCCTCACACGCTGACCACTCCCCACACACTGACCCCTCCCCACACACTGACCTCTCCCCACACACTGACCCCTCCCCCCACACACAGACCCCTCCCCCCACACACTGACCCCTCCCCCCCACACACTGACCCCTCCCACACGCTGACCCCCCTCTCACTGCTGTTGTTACCGATATGGCCACCGTTTCTGCCATTTTCTGCATGAGACCATCGTTGACTGACTTGTGGGTGGCTTTGAGCAGAGTTTCTGCTCTGTCCATCAGCTCCTCAATCTTTTTGCAGAGTTTCTTGGACTGTATACTGGCATTTTTGCTTTCATTGATTATGGCCTCACATTCTGCAGAGAAAAACTCTGTCACTGGCCCCATCATTGTGTGGGGTCCTGTAGTGTAGTGGCTACAGCACTTGCCTCGCAAACAAGAGGACTTGGATTCGATTCCCAGATGGGTGGGGGAGCCAGGCAAAACATTGGGTTAGTTTCCTTACTCCACACACACGCCTGTTTACCTAGTTAGTAGTAAGTAGGATCGCTGGTGTTAGTCGATTGGCTGATCACTTCTGGGGGTAATAATCTCTTCAAAAAAAAATAAGTAAAAAATTTGGTCACTCAATCCACGACTGTTTGTGGGACTTTGTTGTGCCCAATTTGGCTGCTGTGCTTCAAACACAAAATATACAATCAATTCACTTTCTCGTATATTCTGTGAAGAGCTTTGAGATGTCTCAGAGACGTGATAAGGCACTACATCAAATGCAAGTATTATTATTTTAGACTGACTGTGTGTAGCACGGACATTGTCCGGCACTCACACATTCACACACAGTGACTGGCACACACACACACACACACACAGTGACTGGCTGGCTGGCTTACCCAGTGTGTAGGGCCCTAATGGTGTGGCTTTGGGAAGTTTGTATTTTAGCTCTGTGGTGGTCTCATCTTTCTTCACAGTCAAACAGTCCTTCACAATGGCTTTGCTCTGAAATGGGGTCAGTCTCTGGGGGATGAGGTCCACAACCCGTGACCGCTCCGAAAAACATTCTTCCAGCTGTTTCCTACAGGCATCCAGAGTCTGACACACACACACACAACACAAACACTGTCAACCTGAGCAAGGGGTGTGTGTTGTGTACACACACAGATACAGGCACAAACACACACACACAAACACAGACTGTCACCCTGAGCAGGGGGTGTGTGTTGTGTACACACACAGATACAGGCACAAACACACACACACAAACACAGACTGTCACCCTGAGCAGGGGGTGTGTGGTATGTACACACATAGACAGACACACACACACACACACACCTGTAGATACTGTTTGACTGTGTGGAGAGGACCCTCCAACTCAGGTTTCAATCTCAATAACTGTTTCTTCTCGAGATCAATCAGCAAATCCACCCCGTCCAGGTCCTGGGAAGAGAATTACAAACTAACCCGTCCCCCATCACCCCCAAGATCTCACACTGACCCTGCCCCACACTGACCCCCCACAATGACCGCACACTGACCCCGCCCCCACATTCACCCCTCTCCTACACTGATCTCACACTGACCCTGCCCCACACTGACCCCGCACACGCCACAATGACCCCCCCGCACAATGACCTCACACACCCTGCCCCCATCACCCCCACGGGAACCATTTACACTTGTGCCGGGGGGATGGTGCATCCGGGGGAAGGGGGCGGGCAGTGTGGGTCAGGGGGCCTGTGCGGTGGGGGAATGGGTAGGGGGAAAGAGGAGGTGGGAGGGTGGCAAGGTGGGAGGGGGAGTTACTAACCCGCTCCCCAGCTGGTCTCCAGTCCCTGATCTTGCTAGTCTGGTGGTTCAGTTGGATGGCTTTACGGACATTGGCCAGGATCTGGAGCAGCTGTTGACGGTGTTGGTTCAGGCGTTGGATCTCCTGGTTGATGGAGTTGATGGAGGTGCGTAGGCCCATGAGGACAGCACGGCTCTGATAGGCGTAGATGCTGATCTGCTCATTGCTGTTCAGGGCGGTCATGTCCCTGAGGAAGGGCAGCATTTCCATCTCCATACGGAATCCCCAGCCCTCGCTGTGACCCTCAGGTACCTTGTACAGCACGTCTCCTGAGCTGCTGAGGACATTGCTGCCCCCACACCTCTTCCCCACCTCCTCCTCCGGCTTCAGGCTGTACTTGGCCTGTTCTATTCGGGCCTGGTGCTGGGCCTCGCTCTCCTGGGGCTCAGGGTAGGAGCCGGGGACTGGGTCACAGCCCTCCATGCGGGCCAGACGTCGACCTTGGTGTTCGTACATCACGGAGCTTCTCCATGGGGCCATAGTGAAGCCTCGAGACGAGTTGTCCACTATCGCCTCAGCCAGCCGGATGGCCTTGAATGCTCGCTCTCGCCACGGCTTTGCCCCAATGGCCGCTGTCGGCACTGTCAGGTTCTGCCAAGCCATGTCCCTGTGTAAATACAGACAACAACAACAAGATTACATTTGTACAGCGCCTTTCATGTTGGGAGGAATTCCCAAGGCTCTGGACACTCAGTGTTTTCGACCTGAGCTGTGGGTCGGGGTGGGGGAGGGTGGAGGTCAGGCAGGGAAGCAGGCAGATCGAAGCACGGTCGAAGAGGAGGGCCTTGAGATACGTCTTGAAGATGGCAAGAGAGGGGGTGAGGCGGAGGGACTGTGGGATGGATTTCCAGAGAGTGGGGGCAGAGTGGCGGAAAGCCCATCTACCAATGGTGGAGCAGGCGAGGTAGGGGATGTGAAGCAGGACAGAGCCCACTGAGCAGAAATAGTCGGCAGGTTGGCAGGGGTTTAGGAGGTCGCAGAGGTAGAGAGGAGCAAAGCCATGTAGGGATTTGAAGATGAGCACTAGGATCTTGAACTCTATTTCCGTTTGATCGGAAGCCAGTGGAGTCAGGCGAGGATGAAGTGATACACACAAGCCCTGTGTACATACAGACAGACAACACAGTCACTAACAGTCACCGCCTCTCACACACAACACAGTCACCATCATCCCATGTACCTGAGTACACACAGACAACACAGGCCATTTATACCAACACCAACACATCACAGGCCATGTCCCTGTGTACACACAGAAAACACAGGCCATTACACCATCCCATCACAGGCCATGTCCCTGCCTACACACACACATACAAGACACAGTCACCAACAGTCAACGCCTGCCACACACAACTCAGAATACTGTCACCATCATCACGAGCCATGTTCCTGCCTACATGTAGAACACAGTCACTGAAACAGACCCACACACACACATACACAACACCGTCACCATCACAGGCGATTTAACTATGACAACCAACACTGGGCCATCAGCCTGACCCTGGGAGAAGATTGTGACAATCCAGTAGATCAGCTTCATCCCTCGTATCCCTCGTACTCACTTCAGGACTGTTCCTGTGTCTGTCTCTGTGTGTCTGTCTGTCTCTATCAGTCTGTCTGTCCCTGTGTGTGCGTCTGTCTGTCTGTCTGTCTGTGTTTGTGTGTGTGTGTATGTATGTGTGTGTCTGTGTTTCTATCTGTCTATCTCTGTCTCTCCTCCACTCCCTCGCAGTCTCTCTCTGTATCTTTCTCTCCCTCCCTCTCGCTCTCTCAGTCTCTCGCTATCTCTGTCTCTCTCTGTGTCAGTGTCTGTTTCCCTGGTAACAGAGAGGGGAAGCGACACACACTGACAACACTGTCACCATAGAAACCCCCACTCAGGGCCCCCGGTCAAAGCGGTGGGGTGGGGGGTTGTGGGGAGCAAGAAGAGGGAGAGGATGGAGCAAGAGTGGGTGGGGGGGGGGAAGCAAGGTTTGGAGAGGGTGGGGGGAGCGAGGGGGTAAATAAGGGGAAGAAAGCGGCATAAGGAGGAACCCGGTTCTTAGTCGATTAGTGGATCGCTTTTCTGGAGCAAATCCCCTAAAAAAATAATAATAATGTGGTCACTCAACCCACGACTGCTTGTGGGACACTGCTGCTGTGCGCAGTTGACTGCATTATTTTAAATATATACTTTACAGTATATTTTGTGAAGTGCTTTGCGACGTCTCGAAGATAGGCGCTGGATCTGTCTCACTCAGTCTCAGTCTCACTTGGTCGCGGTTGCAAGTCTTTGCTCTTGTCATGAGGAGGAAGCCACCGCTAGCCTCAGGCTTCCTGTTCCTGTGTCAGACATTCAGTTTCACTCGCAGTTTGCAGTTTGTGGAGAAACGCAGGGAATGTCAGGTCAGACAAGCTGACAGACTGGGTAGCGCTGACCTGCCCTTCGGTATACACCGGCCATAGCCATGAGGAGATTTTATAATGTCAACTCTCCCTCCTGGACCAGGCCTGAGCCTGGGCCTGGGGTTAAGGATGGAGCTGGGCCTGGGGCTGGGGTTGGGCCGGGGCTCGGAGTTGGGCCTGGGGTTGGACCTGGAGCTGGGGTTGGGCCTGGAGTTGGGGTTGGGCCTGGGGTTGGGCCAGGGCCTGGGGCTGGGGTTGGGCCTGGGATTGAGCCTGGGGTTGGGGCTGGGGTTGAGCCTGGGGTTGGGGTTGAGCCTGGGGTTGGGGTTGAGCCTGGGATTGCGGTTGGGGTTGAGCCTGGGGTTGGGGTTGAGCCCGGGGTTGGGGTTGGGGTTGAGCCTGGGGTTGGCCCTGGGATTGGGGTTGGGGTTAGGGTTGAACCTGGGGTTGGGGTTGGGGCTGGAGCTTTTCCAGATGAAGCAGGTGGAGGTTCGCTCACTGATGGAGGCCTGTTTACCAGGCAGACCAAGCCACCTGTGGACATGACAGCCCGAGGTGGGGGTGAGGCCACGATACCAGCCAGTGGGGTGTTGACCCCGACACTAGCCCAAGGTTGGGTGTTGTCCCCCGTAACCGACTGCGCTCAGGCTGAGCCCAGGGGCTCACTGCGTACCGTGCGTAAGAAAACAGCAAATACCATAACTATCGTACCTCGGCGATGTACAGCCCCCAACCCAGGCTTAGCCCCCGCGGGCTCAGACATTGCGGTCAGTGCTGTGGGGTTGGAGGTCGCCGGCTCCAGCCAGACACCTGCTTCGGGAACGACTCGCTTCCCCACAGCCGAGCAGATCCAGGTGATCGGAGGCTACCTTACCCTCCACAAGTCCTGCCTAGCCACGCCTCAGCCTCACGCCCACAACCACCGCACAAAGGTACCCGCCCGCACACTCACACACCTCTCGCACACTCACACACCCCCGCACACTCACACACCGCTCGCACACTCACACACCGCTCGCACACTCACACACTGCACAAAGGTACCCACCCACACACTCACCACTCGCACACTTGGACACTCACACACCACATAAAGGTACCTGCTCGCACACTCACACATCGCTTATACACACTCACAAAGGCCTGTGCTCTGGGCGTATTGTGTAAGAATCTCTTGACGTGTTTCTAGCTGAGAATCTCCTTCGCTGACACTGAGCTGGAGACATGTTTCCGGTACCCATCTGAGGTCTCGTTTCTCACTGAGCCGGGAACAGAGGAGACTGCAACACCCAACCCACCACCCACCCAACACCAACACAGTGAGTCCAGCTCAACCCTCACCAACACCAACACCAGCACCAGTGAGTCCAGCTCGGTTCAGCTCAGGGAGTGTGGATGCACAGTGTAGAGGGAGCTTTACTGTGTCTCTAACCCTGACCTGGGAGTGTGGACAGACGCACAGTGTAGAGGGAGCTCTACTGTGTCTCTAACCCTGAGCTGGGAGTGTGGACGCACAGTGTAGGGGGAGCTTTACTGTGTCTCTAACCTGCTCATGCTGTTTCTCTTATGTCTTCAGATGAAAGTTGCAGACAGTGATGGTCGCTGGCGTGGGGAAGGCTTTGGTAACTAAACCGTATCAGATGTCGGAATAGAACAGACGCAGATTAACTATGAACTTTGCAGAAGATTAATCTTTGAACTCTGGTCTCAGCAAGAAGATTTTCAGGAGCAAAATGGTGAATTGCTGTTCACTCCAGGACGAGTGTGAAAGTGACTCATTGACCCAGGATCCGGAGTGTCATCTGAATGTACAAATTAGTGCGAGCGAGTGAATGGTAGTATGAGGTTTACTGTGATTGTGAGTATTCGTGAGAGAGAGGATATCTGTGTGAAGATTAGTGTGCACATTGGTGTCAGTGAGTATGAAGATTAGAATAATGTGTGTATATGTGAAGATAAACCTTCCTGCATCAAAAATAAACAAATCAATAAATGAAATCCACTGTTGTCATCATCATCATCATCATCATGTTTGCATTTGACACATTCCATTGACAATGTCGCCCTAATTCCTCATCCTCGTCAGTCAGTCAGTCAGTCAGTCAGTGTCTGTGTTAGTTGTCAATGTTAGTGTTAGTGTTAGTGTCTGTGTTAGTGTCAGTGTTAGTGTCTGTGTCTGTGTCAGTGTTAGTATAACATAACATGTAGGAGCAGGAGGAGGCCATTGGGCCCTTCGAGCCTTCCTCGCCATTCAATCACGGCTGATCTTCTAATCTAACTCCGGCTAATAACCTGACCCTGCCTCACCCCCATAACCCGCCCTCCCCCCCCAGCCTTCCCGCCTCCCTCCCCCCGCCTTATCCCCATATCCCCCCCTCACCCCCAGGCTCCCCCCCCCCAGCCTTCCCGCCTCCCTCCCCCGCCTTATCCCCATATCCCTTAATCCCTTTTGCAATAAGAAATCTGTCTCAGTCTTGAATATGTTCAATGTGTGTGTGTCAGTGACTGACTCCGGCCACAGGGCGGCGCTGTGTGTATGTATGTGTGTGTCAGTGTCAGTGACTGACTCCGGCCACAGGGCGGCGCTGTGTGTGTATGTATGTGTGTGTCAGTGTCAGTGACTGACTCCGGCCACAGGGCGGCGCTGTGTGTGTGTGTGTGTGTGTATCAGTGACAGTGACTGACTCCGGCCACAGGGCGGCGCTGTGTGTGTGTGTATCAGTGACAGTGACTGACTCCGGCCACAGGGCGGCGCTGTGTGTGTGTGTGTGTGTGTCAGTGTCAGTGACTGACTCCGGCCACAGGGCGGCGCTGTGTGTGTGTGTGTGTGTATCAGTGACAGTGACTGACTCCGGCCACAGGGCGGCGCTGTGTGTATGTATGTGTGTGTCAGTGACTGACTCCGGCCACAGGGCGGCGCTGAGTCTATATCTCTGTGTCGCTGCTCGGGGTCGGGTTGGTGGTGAGGTTACGCGAGGCCCAGGCTTCAGGCCCTGTAAAACCCCGCGATTTGTTTTATTATTGACAGAAAAACTATATTATATTGTCACAAAGAGAGAGTGAGAGAGAGAGGATAGAGAGAGTGAGAGAGAGAGGATAGTGAGAGTGTGAGAGAGGGGATAGAGAGAGTGAGAGAGAGAGGATAGTGAGAGTGAGAGAGAGAGGATAGTGAGAGTGTGAGAGAGGGGATAGAGAGAGTGAGAGAGAGGGGATAGAGAGAGTGAGAGAGAGGGGATAGAGAGAGTGAGAGAGAGGGGATAGAGAGAGTGAGAGAGAGGGGATAGAGAGAGTGAGAGAGAGAGGATAGTGAGAGTGAGAGAGAGGGGATAGAGAGAGTGAGAGAGAGGGGATAGTGAGAGTGAGAGAGAGGGGATAGAGAGAGTGAGAGAGAGGGGATAGAGAGAGTGAGAGAGAGGGGATAGAGAGAGTGAGAGAGAGAGGATAGTGAGAGAATAGAGAGAGTGAAAGAGAGAGAGAGAGGGAGTGAGAGAGATAGAGAGAGAGAGAGAATGAGAGAGAGGATAAGAGACAGAGAAAGAAAGTGAAAGAGAGCGAGACAGAGAGAGGAGAGAACGAGACAGAGCGAGAAGAAGAGATAGACAGAGAGAGAGAGAGAGAGAGAGAGGGGGAATGTGTAAACCGGTCACAGAGAAAAACAACAACAATAATCCTGAACTTTTTCTGGTTTTAGATTTACAGGAAGTGAAACAAAGTTTGAAAACTACAGGTAACAATTATCGTTAATAACAATCCTTAACACCCGACATTATCATAGTGCTGAGACGTCTCAAAGCGCTTCACAGGATACACTGTGAAGTGCAGTGACTGTGTATTTGTGAGTGAAACACGGCAGCCAATCGCGCCCCAGCGACGTCCCACAAACAGTCGTGGAGCGAGCGGTTTTATTGGGGGGGATTGTTGGCCAGAGCACAGGTCAGCGGGAGAGAGAGAGAGAGAGAGAGAGAGAGACTTGGTTTGAGTGTGACTGGAGTGTGGAGTGACTGTCTGTGTAATGTCGTCTCCGGTGCCGTGTAAGTGCTCTGGGACCCTGTATATATACTGTATAACTGTTGTTGTTGTTGTTGTAGCCGATGGCGGGCCTGGAGCAGTGGGTCAACACACAGCTCCATGATGTGCTGGGGCTCAGTGACAAATACGTGGGTCAGTTCCTGATCGGGACAGCGAGGCGTAGTCACAGCCCAACCGACTTCATACAGCGATTACACAACACGGCAACCATCGCCATCACTCCCAGTGTGTCAGCCTTCGCACAACAGCTGTGGGCCAAGGTCAGGGGCTGTGTGTGTGTGTGTGTTTGTTGTGTGTGTGTGTCTGTCTGTCTCAGTGTCTGTCTCAGTGTCTGTCTGTCTGTCTGTCTGTCTCAGTGCCTGTCTCAGTGTCAGTCTCTGTTCTCTGGCTGGAGGTGTGTGCGCGGGGCTCACTCTCTCTCTCTCTGTTGCTGCTGTTGATCAGGTCCCCAGGAAGGTAGTCAATGAGAGGCCTGGGCGTGTTGCTGAAAGGGCTGCCATTGCTCTGCAGCAGAAAGCTGTGAGTTACCGGCTGCTTGAGGAGAGTGAGGAGAGCGAGGAGGATGTGTCCAGTCGCTCAGGCCACAACAAGAGGAAACGCAAACACTTCAGGAAGAAGAAAGAATCGTCTTCAGAGAGCGAGGCTGAGGAGAAGCCGTATGTACCTTCAGGGGGTCAGAGGTCAGAGTGGGTGTTGGGCAGGGCTGGGGTCAGGCTGAGAGGGGCTGACACTGCGTCTCTCTCAGGGACAAGATCTCGGAGAGGCTGAGCCCCTCAGGGTCGGAGGAGGAGGAGGAGTGGGAGAAGGTGGAGAAAGCGAGAGTGAAGGACCTGGAGGAACGTGATGCCTTTGCTGAGAGAGTGAAGCTGAGAGACAAAGAGCGACCGTGGAACATCCTCCATCGATCTGACAGGAAGGTCAGTGTGGTGGGGGTGGGGTCAATCATTGCGACCTGTGTCTCCGTGAGCCCTAGTGACCCCTGACCCCTGTGGCCTGTGCTCTCTGTTTCAGGCTTATGAGGAGGCGCAGAAACGGCTAAAAATGGGAGAGGAGGATAAACGAGCTTTGGTAAGTTGTGTCTGTGCAGAGCTTAGTACCCCATCATTACCGTCTGAGCTCCTTCTTACCCCCTGTCCCCGGGTCTCCCACCCTCTTCTCCCCTCCCCTGACACTGTACCTGTTGTTGGTAGGTCCCCGAGCTCAGGAAGGTTTCCCGCCGACAGTACCTGGCGAAGCGAGAGGAGGAGAAGATGGAGGATTTGGCGGCTGAGATTCTGGACGATGAGAAGTTGTTCCCGATGGCTGAGCTCACGTCAGGCGAGCGACAGGACCTGGAGCACAAGCGGAGGCTGCGAGATCTGGCTCAGGAGTATAAACAGGCCGGAGTCCAGGAGCGAGAGGAGAAGAGCAACCGGTACTACATGCCTGAGGAGAGTCGCCGCAAGGTGAAGGGAGGGGCCACACTGCCAGGGGAGGGGCCACACTGCCGGGGGAGGGGCCACACTACCAGGGGAGGGGCCACACTGCCAGAGGAGGGGCCATACTGCCAAGGGGAGGTGCTGTTGCTGGCGGAGGGGCTGTGATATAATGTGGGCTTTGCTCTGTGTGTAGAAGATTCCAGACCGTTATGAGGAGCCGGGCGAGGGGGAGGGTCCAGCCCCACGTGACGAGCAGCGACGATGGGAGGAGCAGCACTTGGGGGCAGGGCTGAGCCGCTCGGGATCCGGAGCCAAAGCTGGAGACGAACCTTATCAACTGCTCCTCGAGGACGAGATGATCGACTTTGTCAACGCTGTCACCATCCAGGGCAGCCATACCCACCCGGTGAGGGCGGGGTGGGGGCAGGGCCAGGGAGTTTTGAAGGAGCCGGGGATGTCTTGGTTTGGGTTAGGGGGTGTGGTTGGAGGCGGGGCTGTGGTTAGGGTAGGGGTTGGGGGGTGGGGCTGTGGTTAGGGGTGGGTTGGGGGCAGGGCTGTGGTTAGGAGAGGGGTTGGGGGGTGGGGCTGTGGTTAGGGGTGGATTGGGGGCGGGGCTGTGGTTAGGAGAGGGGTTGGGGGTGGGGCTGTGGTTAGGGAGGGGTTGTGGGGCGGGGCTGTTAGGGGAGGGGTTGGGTGGGCGGGGGAGGAGTTGGGCTGGAGGTGGGGCTGTAGTTAGGGGAGGGGTTGGGGGTGGGGCTGTGGTTAGGGGAGGGGTTGGGTGGGCGGGGGGAGGAGTTAGGGGAGGGGTTGGGGGCGGGGCTGTTAGGGGAGGGGTTGGGTGGGCGGGGGGAGGAGTTGGGCTGGAGGCGGGGCTAGGTCAGAGGCGGGGCTGACACTCCTGTGTGTAGGAGGAGCCGGGGATGTCAGACAGTGACAGGCGGAGGCTGACGATACAGGAAGTCAGGCGGAGTTTGCCTGTGTTTCCCTATCGCGAAGACCTGCTGTCGGCCGTCAGTAAACACCAGATTCTCATCATCGAGGGCGAGACGGGCTCCGGGAAAACCACCCAAATCCCACAGTATCTGTACGAGGAAGTGAGTCTATCCAACCCAACCCTGCGTGTGTGTGTGTGTGACATGCACATGTGTGTGTGAGACATACACGTGTGTGTGACATGCACGTGTCTGTGACATACGTGTGTGTGACATACGTGTGTGTGACGTGTGATATACGTGGCTGTGTGATATACATGTATGTGTGTGTGACATACACGAGTGTGTGTGACGTACACATGTGCCTGTGCTGTGTACAGGGTTACACGTCGGGGGGGCTGAAGATCGGGTGTACACAGCCGCGCAGAGTGGCTGCCATGAGTGTGTCGGCTCGAGTGGCCGAAGAGATCGGCGTCAAACTGGGCAACGAGGTACCTGCAGCTGCGGTCACCGGTACCAGGTTTACTTGGTGTTTATGGGGTATTTACCGGGTGTTTATGGGGGATTTATCGGGTGTTTGTGGGAGAATTACCAGGTGTTTTATGGGGTGTTTATAGGGGGTGTTTATGGGGTATTTACCAAGTGTTTATGGGTGCATTTACCGGCTATTTATGTAATGTTTATGGAGGTATTTGCCAGGTGTTTATGGGGATATTTGTGGTGTGTTTATCAGTATTTATGGGGTGTTTATTGTTATTTATGGGGTGTTTACGAGTTGTTTACAGTGTGTTTGTGGGAAATTTACTGGGTATTTATGGGGGTATTTGCTTAGTGTTTGATGGGGTGTTTACCGGGTATTTATGGGATGTTTATGGGGATATTTACCAGGCTATTCATGGGGGTATTTACCAGGTATTTATGGGATGTTTAAGGGGGTATTTACTGGGTGTTTATTGGATGTCTATGGAGGTATTTGCCAGGTGATTATAGGGGTATTTGCTGGGTGTTTATGGGGGTATTTGCCAGGTGTTTATGGGGGGTGTTTGCTGGGTGTTTATGGGGGTATTTGCTGGGTGTTTATGGAGGTATTTACTGGGTGTTTATGAGTGGTATTTACCAGGTGTTTGTGGGGCTGTTTATCAGTGTTTGTGGGGGTATTTACCGGGTGTTTATGGGGTGTTTACAGGTGGGTTACACGATCAGGTTTGAGGACTGCACTTCCCCGCGCACGGTGCTGAAGTACATGACGGATGGGATGTTACTCCGGGAATTCCTGACCGAACCCGACCTGGGGGGCTACAGGTAGCAGCGGTGGCTTAAGCACCTCTCCCCCCTCCTCACTCGCCCCACCCCCTGTCCTTCCCCATGATCAAGCCCCCACAAACTCACACTCTCTCACCCTCTCTCCCCCCCCTCTCCCCCTCTCTCTCCCCCCCCCCTCCCCCTCTCTCTCTCACACTCTCTCTCTCTGTCTCCCCCTCTTTCACACTCTCATTATCTCTCTCACTCTCTCCCCCCCTCGCTCTCTCTCTCTCTCTCTGTCTCCCCCCTCTCTCTCTCTCTCTCTCTCTCTCACACTCTCTCTCTCTCTCACACTCTCTCATTATCTCTCTCACTCTCTCATTCTCTCACACTCTCACACTCTCTCTCTCACTCTCTCATACTCTCTCTCTCTCTCTCCGCAGTGTGCTGATGATAGATGAGGCCCACGAGAGGACGTTACACACTGATATACTGTTCGGGCTGATTAAGGACATTGCACGGTTCCGGCCGGAGTTGAAGGTGCTGATCGCCAGTGCGACCCTCGATACTCAGAAATTCTCCACTTTCTTTGACGAAGCTCCGATCTTCCGGATCCCGGGGCGGAGATTCCCGGTGGATATTTACTACACCAAGGTCAGCCCCCACTCCGCCACCCCCCTCCCTACCCCATCCTACTCCCCTCTCCTCCTCTCCCTCTCCTTCATTCCTTCACCCCCCACCTACCTTCTACCCCCCACCGCCCGACAGTGAGTCTGAGAATATATCTGTGTGAGAGAGAGAGTGTGAGCAGGAGTGCGAGTGTGAGCGGAGGGGAGTGTGAGGGGTGAGTGTGAGCAGTGAGTGTGTTACTGTCTCTTTCAGGCCCCTGAAGCTGACTATCTGGAGGCCGCTGTGGTGTCTGTGCTGCAGATCCACGTCACACAAGCCCCGGGTGACATCCTGGTCTTCCTCACCGGACAGGTAATCACCCTCCCCCCACCCCCCCCGCCTCTGTCACACACCCCACATAGCCCCCCCCCCCCCCCCCCGCCCTCCACACGCCCCACATGTGTGAGATGTTACTACGTGTTACTGTGTGTGCTGCAGTGTGTGCTGCAGTGTGTGTTACTGCGTGTTACTGTGTGCTGCAGTGTGTGTTACTGCGTGTTACTGTGTGCTGCAGTGTGTGTTACTGCGTGTTACTGTGTGCTGCAGTGTGTGTTGCTGCGTGTTACTGTGTGCTGCAGTGTGTGTTACTGCGTGTTATAGTGTGTGTTACTCTGGCTGTTACTCTGGCTGATACTGTGTTTATCAGGAGGAGATCGAGACCACGTGTGAGATGCTCCAGGATCGTTGTCGCCGTTTGGGATCGAAGATCGCGGAGCTTCTGGTTTTACCCATTTACGCCAACCTCCCCTCGGACATGCAGGCCAAGATCTTCCTCCCAACGCCCCCGGGGGCCAGGAAGGTAAGCTTCCTCCCTACCCTGCTCCCTCGTCCCAACCAAACCCCCATCTCCCACCCGCTGTGTATTGACTGACGCTGGCCGGTTGTTGTTGTATATTATTGACTCACTCGCTCACTGTCCGCAGGTTGTTGTTGTTGTTGACTGACTCGCTCACTCACTGTCCCCAGGTTGTTGTTGTTGTTTACTGACTCACTCGCTCACTGTCCGCAGGTTGTTGTGGCCACTAACATTGCGGAGACGTCTCTGACGATTGATGGGATTATTTACGTTATTGATCCCGGATTCTGTAAACAGAAAAGCTACAACGCCAGGACTGGCATGGAGTCTCTGATTGTCATGCCGTGTTCCCGGGTACGTGTGTCCGTGTTCTCCCCGTGTCCTGTGTGACCTGTGTGTGTGTGTGTGTGTGACACACTGACCTGTGTGTGTGTGTGACACACTGACCTGTGTGTGTGTGTGACACACTGACCTGTGTGTGTGTGTGACACACTGACCTGTGTGTGTGTGTGACACACTGACCCGTGTGTGTGTGTCACAGGCCTCTGCTAACCAGCGAGCAGGGAGAGCGGGCCGAGTGTCTGCTGGCCGTTGTTTCCGGCTGTACACGGCCTGGGCTTTCACACACGAGATGGAGGAGACGTCAGTGCCTGAGATCCAGAGAACAAACCTCGGCAACGTGGTCCTCCTGCTCAAGAGCTTAGGTCAGTATCTGTGTGTGCGTGTCTAGGTGTGCGCGTATGAATATGTGTACGCGTGTATCTGTGTGTGTGTCTATGTATGTGTGTGTGTCCATGTGTGTCTGCGTGTGGTCTATTTGTGTGTGTATATCTATGTGTGTGCGTCTGTGTGTGTCTGTGTATGTGGTGTGTTTTTGTCTGTGTCTCTGTGTATGAGGTATATGTGCGTCTTATCTGTGTATGTGGTGTCTGTGTGTGTGTGTTTATGTCTCTGTGTATGTGTTGTGTGTCTGTATGTGATGTGTGTGTGTCTATGTGTCTGTGTGTATGTGGTGTGTGTGTGTGTTTGTGGTCTGTGTGTAGTTACCGTTCTCTGTGTTTCAGGTATAAACGATTTGATTCACTTTGACTTTATGGATCCTCCACCTCACGAGACCCTGGTGTTGGCGCTTGAGCAGCTGTACGCCCTGGGGGCCCTCAACCACCTTGGGGAGCTGACGAAGGTAGTACCCCAGCCCCTCCTCCACCTCCCCAACACCTCCTCCAGCCCCTCCCCCCTCCCCAGCCCCAGTCCCTCCTCCCCCTCCCCAGTCCCACTCCCCCTCACCCAGCACCCCCAGTCCCTCCTCCCACTCCCCAGTCCCCCCACCCCCCCCATGTGTATGTGGTGTGTGGTAATGATGATGATGATGGTAATGGTGATGTTGTCTCTCCAGTTGGGACGCAGGATGGCTGAGCTGCCTGTGGATCCCATGCTGTCCAAGATGATCCTGGCTTCAGAGAAGTGAGTCACTACAACACCCCTGTCACTCTATGTGTGTGCGTGCGTGTGTCACTGTGTGTGTGTGACTTGTGTAATGTCTGTGTGTGTGTGTGTGTGAGTGTGTGAGAGAGAGAGACAGGGAGGTGTAGTTGCTGTGTGTGTGCATATATACACAGGTACCAGTGCTCGGAGGAGATTCTCACCATTGCTGCGATGCTGTCTGTAAACAACGCGATTTTCTATCGGCCCAAAGACAAAGTGGTTCATGCTGACAACGCTCGCATGAACTTCTTTGTGCCCGGAGGTGACCACATGGTCCTGCTTAACGTATACACACAGGTCAGTGTGTGTTTGTGTGTTATAGTGTTACTCACTGTGTCTCTGTGTTACACATTGAGTGGTGTGTGGCTACTCTGATTGTCTCTCTCTCTCACTCTCTGTGTCTGTCTCTCTGTGTGTCTCTGACACTGTGTGTCGCTCTCTCGCTCTCTGTGTCTCCCTCACACTCTGTATCACGCTCTCTCTCTGTGTGTCTCCCTCACTCTGTGTCACGCTTTCTCTGTGTGTCTCTCTCACACTCTGTATCACGCTCTCTCTCTCTCTCTGTGTCTCTCTCACACTGTCTCTCTCTGTGTCTCTCAGTGGGTAGAGTGTGGCTACTCCACACAGTGGTGCTATGAGAACTTTATCCAGTACCGGTCGATGCGCCGCGCAAGGGACGTGAGGGAGCAGCTGGAGGGGCTTCTGGAGAGAATCGAGGTGGAGCTGAGATCAGCGGCGGGAGACACTATGCTGGTCAGGAAGGTGAGCTTCACACTGGGGGACCAGCGAGGAGAGGACTGGGGGGTGGGGGCACCAAGGGTAGTGGGAGGGGAGGCTGGGGTTTCCTACCACACCCTCGGTCTCCTCACTCACACTCTCTCTCTCCCTCTCTCTCCTCTTCTCTCCTCTCTCACACTCCTCACCCTCAGGCGGTCACGGCTGGATTTTTTTACCACACTGCCCGCCTGACCCGCAGTGGGTATAAAACAGTGAAACACCAGCAGGGAGTGTTCGTCCATCCCAACAGCAGTTTGTTCGAGACCCAACCCCGATGGCTGATCTACCACGAGCTCGTGTTCACCACCAAGGAGTTCATGAGACAGGTATCAGCACAGCTGTGTGTGTCTGTATGTGTGTCTGTATGTCTGTGTGTGACTGTATGTGTGTATCTGTGTGTGTGTCTGTCTGCATGCAACTGTCTCGTTGACTCTCTGTGTCTGTGTGTGTGTGTGTCTGTCTGCGTGTGACTGTCTAGTTGACTGTGTGTGTCTGTTAGTTTGTGTGTGTGTCTGTGCGACTGTCTAGTTGACTGTGTGTGTGTGTTTCTGTGCAGGTGACTGAGATCGAGAGCAGTTGGTTTGTCGTGTGTTTGTCTACTTGTCTCTGTGTCTATGTGTGACTGACGCTGGTCTCTCTGCAGGTGATTGAGATTGACAGCGCTTGGCTGCTGGAAGTCGCTCCACATTACTATCGATCACGGGACCTGGAGGACGCGGGCAGTAAAAAGATGCCCCGGAAGCCGGGGAAATCCCGGGAGGATCTGGGCTGAGGATGAGGATTCCTAACACTGTACATATAAACAAATTAATACTTTCACAAAAAAACTATTTGTCTCGTTTAATAATTACAACCAACTCGTTTGCACTCACACCCACCATCAGAGCTTGTGTGTCTCTGTGTGTGTCTGTCTATCTGTGTGTCTGTCTGTCTGTGTCTGTCTGTGTCTCTGTCTGTGTGTGTCTCCGTCTGTCTGCCTGTCTGTCTGTGTCTCTGTCTCTGTCTATCTGTCTGTCTGTGTGTCTCTGTCTATCTGTGTGTCTGTCTGTGTCTGTCTGTGTCTCTGTGAGTGTGTCTCCGTCTGTCTGTCTGTGTCTCTGTCTGTGTGTGTCTCCGTCTGTCTGTCTGTCTGTGTCTCTGTCTCTGTCTGTCTGTGTGTCTCTGTCTGTCTGTCTGTGTGTGTGTGTCCTATATCGCTGTGTATCTATATCTGCAAGAGAGAAAACTAAACCTCTAAAACTCCTAAAACTCTAAAACCTAAAACTCTCCGAACCCATATGCAACCTCGGCGTCAGTTTCGACCCCCAATTGTCCTTCCTCCCCCACATCCAGTCCCTCACCAGCACCACTTTCTTCCACCTCCGACGCATCTCCCATCTCCGCCAATACCCAGTCCTGGCCCTCCCCCCACCCCCGCTCCCCGATCCCCCAGTCCTGGCCCTCCCCCCCACCCCCCAAACCCCGCTCCCGATCCCCCCAGTCCTGGCCCTCCCCCCACCCCCCAAACCCCGCTCCCCCCAGTCCTGGCCCTCCCCCACCCCGCTCCCCGATCCTCCCAGTCCTGGCCCTCCCCCCCCACCCCGCTCCCCGATCCCCCCAGTCCTGGCCCTCCCCCCCACCCCTGATCCCCCAGTCCTGGCCCTCCCCCCTCCCCCCACCCCTGATTCCCCCAGTCCTGGCCCTCCCCCCCACCCCTGATCCCCCAGTCCTGGCCCTCCCCCCCCCCCCACCCCTGATTCCCCCAGTCCTGGCCCTCCCCCCCCACCCCTGATCCCCCAGTCCTGGCCCTCCCACCCCCGCCCCTGATCCCCCCAGTCCTGGCCCTCCCCCCCCCACCCCTGATCCCCCCAGTCCTGGCCCTCCCCCCCCCCCCTGATCCCCCCAGTCCTGGCCCTCCCCCCACCCCTGATCCCCCCAGTCCTGGCCCTCCCCACCACCCCTGATCCCCCCAGTCCTGGCCCCCCCCCCACCACCCCTGATCCCCCAGTCCTGGCCCTCCCCCCCACCCCCCCACCCTGATCCCCCCAGTCCTGGCCCCCCCCACCACCCCTGATCCCCCCAGTCCTGGCCCTCCCCCCACCCCCACCCCTGATCCCCCAGTCCTGGCCCCCCCACCACCTGATCCCCCAGTCCTGGCCCTCCCCCCCCCACCCCTGATCCCCCCAGTCCTGGCCCTCCCCCCACCCCTGATCCCCCCAGTCCTGGCCCTCCCCCCACCCCCCACCCCGCTCCCCCGCCCCTGATCCCCCCAGTCCTGGCCAGACTGCAATGGCTCCTGTCCCAGAGAGGATCCACTTCAAAATCCTGACCCTCGTATTCAAGTCCCTGCACTGCTCTGCACCACCGACCTCTCTGAGGATGGGGTTGGATGACCAGGGGCGGGGCTGGAGGATTGAGGGCGGGGCTGGATGGTCAGAGGCGGGGCTGGATGGTCAGGGGCGGGGCTGGATGGTCAGAGCGCGGGCTGGAGGACTGAGGGCGGGACTGGATGGTCAGAGGCGGGGCTGGATGGTCAGGGGCGGGGCTGGATGATCAGGGGCGGGGCTGGAGGACTGAGGGCGGGACTGGATGGTCAGAGGCGGGGCTGGATGATTAGGGGCGGGACTGGAGGACTGAGGGCGGGGCTGGATGACCAGGGCGGAGCTGGAGGACTGAGGGCGGAGCTGGAGGACTAAGGGCGGGGCTGGATGGTCAGAGGCGGGGCTGGAGGTCCTCGTGGACAGTGATGGCGGGGCTGAGCGGTTACTGTAGTGACTGTGGTGCTGTTCTCCCGCCGCCTGGAGCCGCCCCGAGGATCATCTGTGGCCGCTGTGGTCACAGCACCGATATTAGGGGTCAGTCAGTGAGAGGCCCTCCCCCGTGTGTGTGTGTGTGTGTCTGTCTGTCTGTGTGTGTGTGTGTCTGTCTGTGTCTGTGTCTGTCTGTCTGTGTGTCTGTCTGTGTGTGTGTCTGTGTGTGTGTCTGTGTCTCTCTCTGTGTCTGTCTGTGTCCCTCTCTGTTTTTCTCTCTGTTTCTGTGATTGTTTATATCTCTATTTCTCTGTCTGACTGTATGTCTCAGTTGTTGTCGCTGTGTTTCTCTGTGTCTCTGACTCTCTCTCTCTCTGTGCCTGTGACCGTCACTCTGTGCCCCTTTGTCACTCTGTGTGACACTCTCTCTCTTTCTCTCAAGAGTATGAAGGGAAAATCATCCGCTCGACATTGAACTTCAACAATCCTGAGGTTTTAGCCGCGGCTCTGAATATGAATCTGGGCAGCGGGGAACTGGGGGGCCCCGTGGTGAGTAAGAGACTGTACCCCAATAAACAGTCATTATATTATTATTAAATACCCTAATACTGTTACACCCCGGTAACCGCTCTGCTCCCAGTAACAGTCACATATACCCCAATAACACATGGGAGTCCTGCAGCTCAGTGGATAGAGCACTCGCCTCGCAAGCGAGAGGACCCGGGTTTGATTCCCAGTCGGGCGAAATGTTGGGCAAGTTTATCAAATGCCAGGATTATTATTATTATAACAGTCACATGCACAAGGGTAACAACCCTCGTGGTGACTGTGATCTGCTGTTACAGGTGGACAGGAAGTGCCAGCGCTGTGGACACGAGGGGATGGAGTATCACACACGCCAGACGCGATCAGCAGATGAAGGACAAACTGTCTTCTATACATGCACAAACTGCAGGTGTGTACATTCATGTAACCATATACACAGTCATACCATCATACACTGTCATACAGTCATCTATAGAGTCATCAACAACAACATCAAGATTTCATTTATAGAGCGCCTTTCACGTCGGGAGGACGTCCCAAGGCACTGGACAGCATACTCGGGACCCGAGTATGGGGGAAATGGTCAGAGTGAGGGGAGGGAAGGGAGGGAGCGAGGAGGGGGGAAATGGTCAGGGTGAGGGTAGGGAGCGAGGAGTGGGTAAAGAATCGAGAGGGGAGCTGAAGGCACGGTCGAAGAGAATCTATAGTCATATATACAGTCATACTGTGTTGAACAACTTATATAGTGCCCTCCACACAGGGGAGCGTCTCAGAGCACTTAGTCATACAGTCATTTACCATCATAAACCATCAAATATAAAGTCAGTTACACTGTACTGTGCCTTGTGCAGAGTGTGTTAAAGACACAGACTGGCAGTTGTTACCTGGCGTTTTGTTGTGACCGACTGGTTTCTCTTTCCTTTAGATACCAGGAAAAAGAGGATTCCTGACAACAGGGACCAGTGCTCGCTCTCTTTCTTTTTATTCCCCCTCTCGCCGCTCCCCCCACTCTCTCTTTATTCCCCCTCTTGCCTCCTCCCCCTCTCTGTCTCTCTGTACACGAGCCGGTCGCCGAGAGCCCTGAACAGAAGCCGTGTGTTTAGAGACGAGAACTAACGAGAATTCTCTTTATTATTGTGATAATAAAACGTTGTAAGCACAAGAGAGAATGTGTCAGCGTCAGGACTTTAGCAACTGAGCCATCACTGTGTACAGAGAGCAGGAGAGACACAGACACAGACACACTCAGATGTCTGTACGCACAGACAGTGTGTGAATGACGGGCGGGACTTCCGCCACTCTGCCCCCACTCTCTGGAACTCCCATCCCGCAGCCCCTCTGCCTCACCCCCTTCCCTCACCCCCTCTGCCTCACCCCCTCTGCCTCACCCCCTTCCCTCACCCCCTCTGCCTCACCCCCTCTGCCTCACCCCCTTCCCTCACCCCCTCTGCCTCACCCCCTTCCCCCACCCCCTTCAAGACCTTCTTCTTCGACCGATCTCCACCCCTCCCCCCGCCCCCCCCCACCCCTCCCCCCAACTCGGGTCCGTAACTCTGTCTGTCCAGTGCCTCGGGACGTCTTCGTGACGCAATACAAATGTCGTTCGGTGGTGTTTGTGAATGGAGAGACACCGACAGTCACATTGCGGAGTCCTGGAGCTCAGTGCTTAGAGCGCTCACGGGGGGGGGGGAGGCGGTCACGTGTCGTCGCGCGCGCGGGGGGGGGGGGGAGGCGGTCACGTGTCGTCGCGCGCGGGGGGGGGGGGAGGCGGTCACGTGATAGAGAAACCAATCAGACACTGAGGCTCTGACGCGCGGCGCCAATCACTGTGTTCGATGACGTTCAATCAACGCGTCGAAGACAGAGGCAGTTGAGAGACGCGGAGTGTGGCCCAGACCCCCTGACACAGACCCTCACACACACCCTGACACACAGGTGACAGACAGACCCCCTGACACAGACCCTCACACACACCCTGACACACAGGTGACAGACAGACCCCCTGACACAGACCCTCACACACACCCTGACACACAGGTGACAGACAGACACCCTGACACAGACCCTCACACACACCCTGACACACAGGTGACAGACAGACACCCTGACACAGACCCTCACACAGTGAGTTACACACAGAGACACATACAGTAAGATGTGTGTGTGTCGGTATGTGTGTATGTATGTCTCTGTATGTGTGTTTGACTGTGTGTGTGTATATGTCTCTGTATGTGTATCTGACTGTGTGTGTATATGTCTCTGTATGTGTGTTTGACTGTGTGCGTGTGTGTGTGAGTGTATGTTTCTGTCTGTCTATATATGTGTGTGTATGTATCTGTGTGTCTGTATGTGGGTGTAGGTGTGAGTCTGTCTGTCTGTGTCTGGGTGTCTGTCTGTGTGAGGCTCCTGACCCAGTTTCTGTTTCTCTCCCACAGGACGATCGGCCACTCGGTTCCACGTGTGTCTGACGAGCGTGAGCCGTAGGAGAGTCTCACTGCCGGGCTCCTGGCATCATCCACTCCCAGGGTTACAGCATCAACAAGAGAGTGTTACACACAGCGCCCAAGCAACCGAGACCGAGGCCCAAGGGAGAGAAAGAGAGATAAACCAATAAGCAAAGACTGAGGAGGAGGGAGAGGGGCTGGGGGAGGGAAGGAGGGAGTGAATGAATGAGGGCCTGAAAGAGAGGGAGAAGCAGAGGCAGTGGGTGAGGGGTCAATGCATTTTCTCTTTGATTGAAGATTGAGCAACAGAGAACTGAGGGCAGAGTCCACAGAGAGAGAGAGAGAGATAAAGAAATAGAGCGAGAGCAAGGGATAGAGAGAGAGAGAGAGAGCGAGAGTGTCCACTCTGTGTATGAGAGAGAGAGGAAGTCAGACATTCTGCTGTCACTGGCTAAAGTTCCAAAAGAAAATCCCCATCCCCATGGCTGATCTCTGCTCTGGCAGCTTCTACCGTAAGTCTCCGGGGGAGATGCGACGGGAGGGTGGGGAGGGAGGTGGCGACGACGGGGTGGGGGTGAGGGGCAGGTCTGAATGTAATGTTTCTCTGTGACAAGATTCACTTCGCTCCCCAACCCCTCTCCCCCCACTGCGCTCCACTGTGAGAAAGTCCGTGAGAAATCCCCCTCCAAGTGTGAGTGTGAGACACTGCTCCCCTCTAGTTGCTGAGAGTCTGTGAGAAAGGAGCAGATGTGACTCCCTCGCTGCCCGCTGCGTGTTGACTTTCTCTCACACATTCCCTAATACAGGGACCTGTAGCTCAGTGGTTAGAGCACTCACCGTGTAAGTGAGAGGACGTGGGTTCGATTCCTGGGCGGGTCAGGGCATAACAAAAGTTGGGTAAGTTTCCTTACTCCAGACGTGCCTCTGTTAGTCGATTTGGGGGATTGCTTTCCAGGGGTAATAATACCTTCAAAAAAATACTGATTTTGTCAGTTGGGCCTTCAGCCGCACTGCCCTCCACCTCTCCTGATCCCAACCCCCAGCTCATGTCCAAGTCTGTGAGTGTCCAGAGTCTTGGGACATCTTCTCTACGTGAAAGGGAATGTGTAAATGTCATGTTTATTATATATAAGCCCTGATGGGGTGTTTATTATTATATATACCCTGGTGGGGTGTTTATTATATATACCTTGTTGGAGTGTTTATTATCATATATATATATCCTGATGGGGTGTTTATTACCATATATATACATACCTTGATGGGGTGTTTATTATCACACATATATATATATATTTCCCCTGATGGGGTGTTTATTAACGTGTGTATATATATATATCCTGATGGGGTCTTTATTACCATATATATACACACACCCGGATGGGGTCTTTATTATATATAAATACCCTGATGTGATGTTTATTATATATATATACCCTGATAGGGTGTTTATTATTATATAATATATATTATTTTTGTTGGCATTTTGCCCACAAAATATACAGTCAATCCACTTCAAAGTATATTCTGCGAAGCGCTTTGAAGCGTCTCAAAAGACGTGATAAGGCGCTGTATCAAATGCAAGGATTATTATCATGATACAAAGATAAGGTTGAGGGGTGATATGATTACGGTGTTTACGATTCTGAAGGGACTAGATAACGTAGTCCATGATAAGCTGTTCTATCTTGTACTGAACAAACAGCAAAACCAGAGGACACGGCCTGCGATCGAAGGGGGTAAACTCAGAACAGATCGACAGAAACACTGCTTCAGTGAGCGAGTAGTAAACATATGGAACAGCTCCCGAGGGAGATGGTGGAAGCAGAAACTGTCATTTGTTTGAAGAACAAATTAGATCGATTTCTGCTCGGAAATGATATCTGGGATACAATGTACAGACACACACTAACAGAGAGAGACAGACACCCCCCCCCCCGCAGATACTATAGACACACACTAACAGAGAGAGATAGACACCCCCCCCCCCGCAGATACTATAGACACACACTAACAGAGAGAGACAGACACCCCCCCCCCCCGCAGATACTATAGACACACACTAACAGAGAGAGACAGACACCCCCCCCCCGCAGATACTATAGACACACACTAACAGAGAGAGACAGACACCCCCCCCCGCAGATACTATAGACACACACTAACAGAGAGAGACACCCCCCCCCGCAGATACTATAGACACACACTAACAAGAGAGAGACAGACACCCCCCCCCCCCCCCGCAGATACTATAGACACACACTAACAGAGAGAGACAGACACCCCCCCCCCCCCGCAGATACTATAGACACACACTAACAGAGAGAGACAGACACCCCCCCCCCGCAGATACTATAGACACACACTAACAGAGAGAGACCCCCCCCCCCCGCAGATACTATAGACACACACTAACAAAGAGAGACAGACACCCCCCCCCCCCCCCCGCAGATACTATAGACACACACTAACAGAGAGAGACAGACACCCCCCCCCCCCCGCAGATACTATAGACACACACTAACAGAGAGAGACAGACCCCCCCCCCCCCGCAGATACTATAGACACACACTAACAGAGAGAGACAGACACCCCCCCCCCCGCAGATACTATAGACACACACTAACAGAGAGAGACAGACACCCCCCCCCCCCGCAGATACTATAGACACACACTAACAGAGAGAGACAGACACCCCCCCCCCCCCCCGCAGATACTATAGACACACACTAACAAGAGAGACAGACACCCCCCCCCCCCCCCGCAGATACTATAGACGCACACTAACAGAGAGAGACAGACACCCCCCCCCCACCCGCAGATACGATAGACACACAGACGTGGAGATCTGTAGCTCAGCGGTTAGAGCACTCGTCTTGCGAACGAGACAACTGTGTTCATTTCCAGGCAGGGGGCGAAACCTTGGGCAAGTTTCCCTACTCCACTCCCCGAATATTAATCCTCCAAATAAAACAATAATAAATTGGTCACTTCAATCCACGACTGTTTGTGGGGACACTGCTGCGTGCAATTGGCTGCCGGGTTTCGCCCACAAATATACAGTCAATTAACTTTACAGTCTATTCTGTGAAGCGCTTTGAGATGTCGAGAAGATGTGAAAAGCACTGTATCAAATGCAATGATTATTATTATTATAGAGAGACAGACACCACCCCCCCCCCCCCCCATATACTATAGACACACACACTGACAGAGAGAGACAGACCCCCCCCCATATACCATAGACACACACACACTGACAGAGAGAGAGAGACACCCCCCCCCCATATACTATAGACACACACACTGACAGAGACAGACCCCCCCCCCCATATACCATAGACACACACTGACAGAGAGAGAGAGACACCGCCCCCCATATACTATAGACACACACACTGACAGAGAGACAGACACATCCACACAGATACTATTGACACACACACTGACAGAGAGCGAGACATACGCCCACAAAATAAACATGGTGTTTATTATTAAATACTCTGATACTGGGCATTTATTATTATATGTTATGTTTATTACTCTACCAGGTGTTTATTATATACCTGGATGGTGGATATTTATTAGTATATGCCTGGATGCCGGGTCTTTATCATACCCTGATGTTGGGTGTTTATTATTATACCCTGATGCTAGACGTTTATGATTATATACCCGGATGCTGTGTGTGTGTTATGTACCCCAAATGCCAGGTGTTTATTAATACACCTGGATGCTGGGTGTTTATTATTCCTATGCTGAGTGTTAATTATTATACCTGGATGCTGGGTATTTATTATGCCATGATGTCGGGTGTTTATTATTATTCTCTGATGCTGGGTGTTTACCATTATACCCTGGTGTTGGGTGTTTATTATACACTGATGCTGGGTATTTATTATTATACCCTGATGTGGGGTGTTTATTATATACTCCAATGTCAGGTGTTTATCATTAGACCCAGATGCTGGGTGTTTATTAGTACTCGCCCTGATGCCAAGTGTTCATTATACCCTGGTTCTGGGTGTTGTTTTATTATACCCAGATCCCAGGCGTTTATCACTACATGCCCGGATGCTGGGTCTTTATCACATACCCCCAAATGCCGGGTGTTTATTATTATACGCCCGGATGCCGGGTGTTTACCACTGTATACCCGGATTCCGGGTGTTTATTACTATACACCCTGATGGGGCTGTGTCTCTGCTCTGCCGCAGGTTGATGGCGGAGGCCGGGCTGAGGCCCTGAGCACGAGAGGCCGAAGCCTAGGCCAGAAGCCGGCGTGTGGGAGTCGCGATGCCCCGCCGGGGGAAGCTGCTGGTCTGGGCTTTGGTGCTGTTTATCGGCTGGAACGCGCTGGTGCTGCTGTTCGTGTTGGGCCGCCCCGGGTCAGGGCCGGGGTCCGGGGGAGAGGCCGAGCCTGGAGCCGGAGCCTGGGGCTGGGCTGGAGCCGCAGGAGATCCCGAGGCCTTGGCCCGGGAGGTGGTCCGATTGGCCGAGGACGTGGAGCGGGAGCTGGAGAGTCAGAAGCGGCTGCTCGAGCAGATCGAGCGGCACCGGGGCCTGTGGCAAGGCCGAGGCCTGGCGGAGAGGCCGAGGCCCGGGGCTGGAGTGCGGGACGAGACCGCGGAGCAGCGCGAGGACCGCTTGGCCGACGAGGCCGCGGCGCGGGCTCTGGGCCTGGAGCCGGGGGCGGACGTGGAGCAGGTGCCGCTGGCGGTGCTGGTGTTGGGCTGCGACCGGGTGACGGTGACCCGCTGTCTGGACAAACTGCTGCGCTACCGCCCGGGCGGCGACTCGGCGGCGGCGCTGTACCCGCTGATCGTCAGCCAGGACTGCGGCCACGCGGGCACGGCCCGGGCCATCGCCGGGTACGGGTCGCGGGTGACGCGGCTGGTGCAGCCCGAGGCCGGGGACGTGGAGGCCCCGCCCGAGCAGCGGCGTTTCCAGGGCTACTACCGGATCGCGCGGCACTACCGCTGGGCCCTGGGGCAGGTGTTCGGGCCGCTCGGCCACGTGGCGGCGGTGGTGGTGGAGGACGACCTGGACGTGGCGCCGGACTTCTACGAGTACTTCCGGGCGCTGCTGCCGGTCTTGGCCGCCGACCCGTCGCTGTGGTGCGTGTCCGCGTGGCACGACAACGGCAAGCGCGGCCTAGTGCAGCCGGGGCCCGGGGCCGGCGGCTCGCTGCTCCGCACCGACTTCTTCCCGGGCCTGGGCTGGATGCTGCTCCGGGGCCTGTGGCTGGAGCTGGAGCCCAAGTGGCCGCTGGGCTTCTGGGACGATTGGCTGCGGGAGCCCGGGCAGCGCCGGGGCCGCGCCTGCGTCCGGCCCGAGCTGTCGCGGACGGTGACGTTCGGGCGGCGCGGGGTCAGCGGAGGGCAGTTCTACGACCAGCACCTGCGGCACATGCTGCTGAGCCCGGGCTTCGAGGCCTTCACCCGCCGCCGCCACCGCCTGGCCCGCGGCCTCCGGCAGCCCCGCTACGACGCCGACTTCACGGCCCGTGTGTACTCGGCCGCCGCCCTCGTGACGCTGGAGCAGCTCCAGCGCGAGGCCGAGGCCTCCCCGGCCCAGGCCCAGGCCCAGGCCCCGCCCGCCGCGCGGCTCGAGTACCGCAGCCGCGACCAGTTCAAGGCCTTGGCCCGAGCGCTCGGGGCGATGGACGACCTGAAGTCCGGGGTCCCGCGGGCCGGGTATCGGGGTGTAGTGACTGTGCTGTACCGCGGGAGGAGGGTGTACCTGGCCCCGCCCCCCGGCTGGACCGGATATGACACGTCCTGGACCTGAGAGGGTGGGGCTCAGTGACGGGAGGGGCTGTGTGAAGGGGAGGGGCCGTGTATGTGGGAGGGGCTGTGTGTAAGAGGGAGGGGCTATGTATGAGGGGGAGGGGCTGTGTATGTGGGCGGTAGGTAAGGGGGAGGGGCTGTGTATGTGGGAGGGGCTGTGTAAGAGGGAGGGGCTGTGTGTAAGGGGGAGGGGCTGTGCGTAAGAGGGAGGGCTGTGTATGTGGGAGGGGCTGTGTGTAAGGGGGAGGGGCTGTGTGTATGTGGGAGGGGCTGTGTGTAAGGGGAGGGGCTGTGTGTATGTGGGAGGGGCTGTATGTAAGGGGGAGGGGCTGTGTAAGGGGGAGGGGCTGAGTGTAAGGGGAGGGGCTGTGTGTATGTGGGAGGGGCTGTATGTAAGGGGGAGGGGCTGTGTGTATGTGGGAGGGGCTGTATGTAAGGGGAGGGGCTGAGTGTAAGGGGAAGGGGCTGTAAGGGAACAAAACTTCACAATAAATTCTGTCCATTCCTGTTGCTGGGGGAGGTTTGGGGGGAGGGGGCAGTGAGGGTCAGGGCCCTGAGCCCCGGGGAAGGCTCAGGGTGGGGCGCGGGGTAGCAGTGGCCTGGGAGGGTGGGTTGGTGGTGGGTGGGGGGGGGGGGGTAGTGGGGCTCAGTGTCAGGGTCAAACTCTGTCTCTATGGCAATAAATTCTCTATTTTCTGAAGACGCTTAAGCTTCTGTAATGTGGTCATGGCCCTGTGGGGCGGGGGGGGAGGGCACAGGCCCTGGGGGGTGGGGGGGGAGGGCACAGGCCCTGGGGGGGTGGGGGAGGTCACAGGCCCTGGGGGGTGGGGGGGAGGGCACAGGCCCTGGGGGGGTGGGGGGGAGGTCACAGGCCCTGTGGGGCGGGGGGGAGGGCACAGGCCCTGGGGGGTGGGGGGGGTCAGATCACAGGCCCTGTGGTGGTGGGGGGCAGGTCACAGGCCCTGGGGGGGGGGGGGGGGGGGAGGAAAGCTGACGGGGGGGGTGAGGGGTGATGTACACAGTGATGTCCGGTGGCAGAAGACACTGACGTGTGGAGAGAAAAGCAGCAGAGACTTTATTATCAGGAAGGTGCCCCCACACACAGTGTGACCCCCCCACCCCCACCCACAGTGTGACCCCCCCCCCCCCACCCACACACACAGTGTGACCCCCCCCCCCCACCCACACACAGTGTGACCCCCACACACACAGTGTGACCCCTCCCCCCCACCCACAGTGTGACCCCCCCACCCACACACACAGTGTGACCCCCCCCACCCACACACACAGTGTGACCCCCCCCCCACCCACACACACAGTGTGACCCCCTGGCGTGTGATAGATGTGTGATGGCATATGACTGACATGTGTTGTGTTAACGTGTGACAGGCATGTGATGGCGTGTGGTTGTGTTACAGTGATTGGTGTGTTACTCGCGCGTGATTGGTGTGAGACTAGCATGTAACAGGCACGTGATGGTGTGTGACAGGCGTGTGGTTGTGTTACAGTGACTGGTGTGTGTCCCGGCAGCTGTGGTGGGGCCATCGGATCCCGGCCTATCAGGTCATCAACCCCGACTCCGAGACACAGGTAACAGCCCCCTCTGTGCAGGGGTGTTGATGGGGGTGGTGGGGGTTTGGAGCTGTGTGTGTGGGTGTGTGTGTCACTGACTGATTCTCTCTCAGGTGTGTGTGTGTGAATGTGACCCTCTCTTTCTCTCTTGACACTGTGTGGCGGTGCGTGTGGGTGTGTGGGTGTGTGTGACCTCTCTCAGGGCACTGTGGGTGTGTGCAGGTGGGTGTGACCCTCTCTCTCTCTCTCAGGATACTGTGGGTGTGTGTGTGTGGGTGTGTGTGACCTCTCTCAGGATTCTGTGGATGTGTGTGTGTGTGTGGGGGGGTGTATGTGGGTATGTGTGACCCTCTCTCTCTCTCTCTCTCAGGACACTGTGTGGGTTTCTGGACGGACAGAGGCCGAGGCTCGAAGAAAAGCTTCACAGAAATTGGGGATTCCTGAGTCTGAGCTATCTCTGAGGCAGGGTGGGTACAGTGGGGGATGGAGTAATGGGGGTAACGCTGCTCTACTCTCTGACAGACGAGGCTGGGGAGGGGGGGTGTGGAGTGACTGGGAGGGGAGGGTAGATGGGGTAACGAGGGGTGTAATGGGGGTAACGCTGCTCTACTCTCTGACAGATGAGGCTGGGGAGGGGGGGTGTGGAGTGACTGGGAGGGGAGGGTAGATGGGGTAACGAGGGGTGTAATGGGGGTAACGCTCTACTCTCTGACAGACGAGGACGTGTTGGACACCTGGTTTTCTTCAGCCATTTTCCCATTTGCAGCTTTGGGCTGGCCTCATCCGGTAACTCTCTCTCTCTCTCTGTGTCTGTCTGTCTGTCTGTCTGTCTGTCTGTCTGTCTGTCTGTCTGTCTGTCTGTCTGTCTGTCTGTCTGTCTGTCTGTCTGTCTGTCTGTCTGTCTGTCTGTCTGTCTGTCTGTCTGTCTGTCTGTCTGTCTGTCTGTCTCTGTGCGTGTGTGTAACACACTCACTCTCTATCGCTGTCTTTAACTCACACTCTCTCTCTCTCTTTCGTTCTCTCTATTGCAGACTGATGACCTCAGGGAGTTCTATCCGGGGTCAGTGTTGGAGACAGGAAGTGACCTCATCTTCTTCTGGGTGGCGCGAATGGTCATGTTTGGACAGGAACTGACCGGCCAACTTCCCTTCCCCCAGGTCAGTGTGACCTCACTTCCCTTCCACCCAGGTCAGTGTGACCTCACTTCCCTTGCCCCAGATCAGTGTGACCTCACTTCCCTTCCCCCAGATCAGTGTGACCTCACTTCCCTTCCCCCAGATCAGTGTGACCTCACTTCCCTTGCCCCAGATCAGTGTGACCTCACTTCCCTTCCCCCAGGTCAGTGTGACGTTTCTCTCTCTTTCTCAGGTTCTGTTTCACTCGATGGTGAGAGATTCTCATGGACGAAAAATGAGCAAATCCCTGGGAAATGTCATCGATCCACTGGACGTGATCAACGGAGCCTCGGCTCAGGTCAGTCTGTCTGTCTGTGTGTGTGTGTGTCTGTGTCTGTGCGTGTTTGTGTGTCTGTCTCTCACACACACTCTTCCTCATCTCTCTCTCTCTCTCTCTCAGTATCTACACCAGAAGCTGGGATCGATCCTGTTGGACGCCCGGGAGATGCGAGTGGCTGAGGAGGGGCAGGTCAGTGTGTGTGTCCACAGTGAGCGAGACTCTCACTTTGGGTACAGTCATGGGGTTAGGGCTGTCTGTGTGGTATTAGGGTTAAGGTTTGGGTTAGGACTGGGATGTTATGTTGCTATGAGCTATGAGGAGGAGACGATTATCTGTGATGAATGTTTTACTAATTACAGTTTATTTATTTTGACAGAAACGAGATTTTCCGTATGGAATCCCAGAGTGTGGGACGGATGCCCTGAGGTTCTCCCTGTGCTCCACCCCCTCCCAGGGTCAGTGTCTGTGTGTCTGTGTGAGTATGTATGGGTGTGTGTCTGTGTGTGAGTGTGTATCTGTGTGTGTGTATGTCTGTGTATCTATCTGTCTGTGTGAATATATATCTGTGTGTGTGTGTGTCTGTGCGAGTGTGTATCTGTGTGTGTCTGTGTGAGTGTGTATCTGTGTGTGTGAGTGTGTGTATCTGTGTGTGTGAGTGTGTGTGTGTGTATGTGTGTGTGTCTGTGTGAGTGTATCTGTGTGTGTGTCAGTGAGTGTATCTGTGTGTGTGTGTGTGTGTGGGTCAGTATAATCTCTATCTTTCTCTCTCTGTCCCCACAGACACTGACCTGAGACTCGACGTTGCTGCTGTTTTAGCTGCTCGGCATTTCTGTAACAAAGTCTGGAACTCGGTGAAGTTTACACTGAGCTCTGTGACCCCTGACTTCCAACCACGACCCCCGAGAGAGGTCAGTGCATCTCCCCCGCGCTCAGCACAGCTCCCCCCCACCCATCATCTCCCCAAAATCTCCCCGCCATCCCGCACCCCCACCCCATTCCCCCAACACATACCCCCATCACCCCCCCCAACCGTCCCAGAACTGCCCCATCAGCTCCCCATCACTGCCTCCACAGCCTCCAGCTCCCCCACTCACTCTCTCTCACTGTTACAGATCCGGCCACTCTCTGCTATTGACCGGTGGGTGTGTAGTCGGCTACACGTCGCTGTGACCCTCAGTGACCGCGGTTTCCACAGTAATGACCTCTCGACCGTCACCAGAGCCGTCCACAGCTTCTGGCTCCACGATCTGTGTGATGTCTACCTGGTCAGTAAGTGTGTCACATTGTATGTCTGTGTGTGTGTGTCTGTGTCACACTGTGTGTCCATATATGTGTGTGTGTGTGTCACACTGTGTGTGTGTGTCACACTGTGTATATCTGACTGTGTGTGTGTCACACTGTGTGTGTGTGTGTCTTTGTGTTTGTGTGAGTCGGTGTGTGTGTGTGTGTGTGTGTGTGTCACACTGTGGGTGGGTGTCCGTGTGTGTGCGTGTGTAGACTATTCTAACGCCCTCCTCGCCGGCCTCCCCTCCACGACCATCCATAAAATCCAGATCATTCAAAACTCTGCCGCCCGCATTCTCACCCGCACCAAAACCCCAAACCCCGCTCCCCGATCCTCCCAGTCCTGGCCCCACTGTCGCCCCCCGCCCCCAAACCCCGCTCCCCGATCCTCCCAGTCCTGGCCCCACTGTCGCCCCCCGCCCCCAAACCCTGCTCCCCGATTCCCCCCAGTCCTGGCCAGACTGCACTGGCTCCTGTCCCAGAGAGGATCCACTTCAAGATCCTCACTCTTGTATTCAAATCCCTCCACTCCTCTGCACCTCCCTGACCTCTCTGACCTCCTCTCTCCTCAAAACAGTACCCGCTGCCTTCGTTCCTCTGGGTCTGACCTCTTCCGAGTCCTCCGCTCCACCCTCGGTGGCCGTGCCTTCAGCCACTGCGCCCCGAGGCTCTGGAACTGCCTTCCTCACTCCCTTCCCCTCGCTCCCTCTCTTCCTATTTTCTGGAACTCCATCCCCCAGTGCCTTCGCCTTGCTTCCTCCTTTTCCTCCTTCAAGGCTGGTCTCAAGACCTTTTTCTTTGACCGTGCCTTCAGTTCCCCTCTCGACCCTCTACTCGCTCCCTCCCTTCCCTCCCCCTGACCATTTCCCCCCAATGCTCGGGTCCTGACCCAACTGTCCAACGCCTTGGGACGTCCTCCCGACGTGAAAGGCGCTCTATAAATGCAATCTTGTTGTTGTCAGGTCTCTTCTGAAGACCTTTCTTTTCGACCGCACCTTTGGTTACCTTCCTCACCCTCCCCCTGGCTCCTTCCCCTCCGCCTAGCTCGGTCGGGATCCGTTACTGTGAAGCTCTGAGACGCCGTCCAGCGTGGGGGGCACTATATAAGTTGTCGTTATTGTGTGTGTGTGTGTGTGTGTGTGTCTGTGTGTGTGTGCGTGTGTGGCATAGGTACTTATGGTTGTGTGTGTCTCTGACAGGAGTGTGTGAAGCCGGTGCTAAGAGCAGCCGCAGACGGAGACCCAGACGGCAGTCAGGCGAACACTGTCAGGCAGATCCTCGTGGCCTGTACAGACCAGGGCTTGCGGCTGCTCTCCCCGTTTATGCCATTTCTCACCGAGGAATTGTGGCAGCGATTACCTTCCTCACCTTCATCATCACCCCCAGCCCCCAGTGTCTGTGTGTCTGCGTTTCCTCAGCTCAGCTCCCTGGTGAGTGACAGCCCCCCCCCCCCCACCAACACCAACCCCCAACTGCCCCCCCGCCAGCCCCCACAATCCCCACCAGCCCCCACCCCCAGTGTCTGTGTGTGTATGTGTGTGTGGGGGGGAGGGGGCGGTGGGGTGGGGGAAGTGTGTGTGTGTGTGTGGCAGGGGGGAGGGGGAGTGTGTATGAGGGCTCTGAGGCACTGCCCTGCATGGAGGGTCCCTGCTATGTGTGGGGGGGGTCGGGGGCTGTGTATGGGGGGTCGAGGGCTGTGTGCGGGGGGTCGGAGGTGCTGTGAGGCTAACGCTGTGTGTCTAACAGCCTGGGTGTCACAGTGAACGTGAAGAGAAGGATTTCCGTCAGGTTCAGGACGTGGTGAAGGTTGTGAGGAATCTCAGAGCAGATTATCATCTGACAACTGGACGTCCTGAGGGTCAGTGTGTGTGTGTCTGTGTTTGTATACGCGTGTGTGTCTGTGTGTGTATACGCGTGTGTGTCTGTGTGTCTCTCACTCTCTCGGTGTCACTCGGTGTATATTCACTGCTCATTGTGTGTCTCGTTCTCTCTCACACTCTCACACTCACTGTCTCTCACACACTCACTCTCACTCTCACACTCACTCTCTCACACTCTCTCTCACACTCTCTCACACTCACTCTCTCTCACACTCACGGTCTCTCACACTCACTGTCTCTCACACAGTCACTCTCACACACTCTCACACTCACTCACTCTCTCCCTCACACACTCACTGTCTCTCACTCAGTCACTCTCACACTCACTCTCTCTCACACACTCACTGTGTCTCACACACTCACTCTCTCTCACTCTCTCTCTCTCTCAGTGTATATCCGCTGCTCAGACAGTGTCCGTCGCTCTCTATCCCAGTTCCTGGAGCCTCTCTGTGTGCTGTCACGATCAGCGAGTGTCAGATTCCTGTCCCCGGGGTCGGTCCCCCCCTCACACAGCGTGTCAGCTCCTGTCAGTGATCAGTGCACAGTGTACCTCCAGGTCAGTGACAGAGCGGGTGTGGGGGGCAGTGAGGGGAGTGGGGTCTGTGTGTGGGGGCGCCATGTGTGGGGGGTGGGCTGTGGGGGGTGTGCGGGGGGGGGCTGTGTGTGGGGGCTGTGTGGGGGGGGGCTGTGTGTGGCGGGGGGGGTGGGCTGTGCGGGGGGGGGGTGTGTGCGGGGGGGGGGGGGGCTGTCGGGGGTGGGGGCTGTGCGGGGGGGGGTTGTGCGGGTGCGGGGGGGCTGTGCGGGGGGGGGGTTGTGCGGGGGGCTGTGCGGGGGGGGGCTGTGCGGGGGGGGTGTGCGGGGGGGCTGTGCGGGGGGGCTGTGGGGGGGGCTGTGCGGGGGGGGGGCTGTGCGGGGGGGCTGTATGTCGGGCTGGGGGGCTATTTGTGGGATGGTCTCTCTGACCCTCTCCCCTCACTGACCCTCAGGGCCTCTCCGACCCTCGGGTGGAAACACAGACCCTGGTGAGGAAACGTCAGCGTCTCCAACAGCAGCTCCACCGTCTGCTCAACGTCACCACGGCAACAGCCTACCAACAGAAGGTTCCGGAAAACGTCCGCCAGCAACACACCGAGAAAGTACGTCCGCCTGTGTGTGTGTGTGTCACTGTGTGTGTGTAGTGGGGGCTGGCGGCGTTCTGTCACACTGTGTGTGTCAGGCGAACTGTGTGTGTGTGTGTGTGTGTGTGTGTGTGTGTGGTGTGTGTGTGTGTGTGTGTGTGTGTGTGTCAGGCTGTGTGTGTGTGTGGGTGTGTGTGTGTGTGTCAGGCTGTGTGTGTGTGTGTGTGTGTGTGTGTCAGGCGTGTGTGTGTGTGTGTGTGTGTGTGTGTCAGGCTGTGTGTGTGTGTCAGGCTGTGTGTGTGTGTCAGGCTGTGTGTGTGTGTGTGTCAGGCTGTGTGTGTGTGTGTGTGTGTCAGGCTGTGTGTGTGTGTGGTGTGTGTGTGTGTCAGGCTGTGTGTGTGTGTGTGTGTGTGTGTCAGGCTGTGTGTGTGTGTGTGTGTGTGTGTGTCAGGCTGTGTGTGTGTGTGTGTGTCAGGCTGTGTGTGTGTGTGTGGTGTGTGTCAGGCTGTGTGTGTGTGTGTGTGTGTGTGTCAGGCTGTGTGTGTGTGTGTGTGTGCTGTGTGTGTGTGTGTGTGTGTCAGGCTGTGTGTGTGTGTCAGGCTGTGTGTGTGTGTGTGTGTGTGTGTCAGGCTGTGTGTGTGTGTGTGTGTGTGTGTCAGGCTGTGTGTGTGTGTGTGTGTGTGTGTCAGGCTGTGTGTGTGTGTGTGTGTGTCAGGCTGTGTGTGTGTGTCAGGCTGTGTGTGTGTGTCAGGCTGTGTGTGTGTGTCAGGCTGTGTGTGTGTGTGTGTGTGTGTGTGTCAGGCTGTGTGTGTGTGTGTGTGTGTGTGTGTGTGTGTCAGGCTGTGTGTGTGTGTGTGTGTGTGTGTGTGTGTCAGGCTGTGTGTGTGTGTGTGTGTGTGTGTCAGGCTGTGTGTGTGTGTGTGGTGTCAGGCTGTGTGTGTGTGTCAGGCTGTGTGTGTGTGTGTCAGGCTGTGTGTGTGTGTCAGGCTGTGTGTGTGTGTCAGGCTGTGTGTGTGTGTCAGGCTGTGTGTGTGTGTCAGGCTGTGTGTGTGTGTGTGTGTGTGTGTCAGGCTGACTGTGTGTGTGTGTGTGTGTGTGTCAGGCTGTGTGTGTGTGTGTGTGTGTCAGGCTGTGTGTGTGTGTGTCAGGCTGTGTGTGTGTGTGTGTGTCAGGCTGTGTGTGTGTGTGTCAGGCTGTGTGTGTGTGTCAGGCTGTGTGTGTGTGTGTGTGTGTCAGGCTGTGTGTGTGTGTCAGGCTGACTGTGTGTATGTTACAGATCCGATGTCTTCGTGTCAGGCTGTGTCTGTGTGGGGGGGGTCACACTGTGTGTGTGGGTGGGGGGGGTCACACTGTGTGTGTGGGTGGGGGGGTCACACTGTGGGTGGGGGGGGTCA